TGAGTCACGAGAGGGATGGGGTCAGGCAGAGTGCCAGAATCACTCACTGTTCTCAGAAATAAATAACAGCAACTGAAGTTACGCATTTACAGCCCATTTCCTCCAGTTTCCTTTAAGGTTTATTCTGCCTGGAAATCAACAACTTGCAACCTCAACATTTTCTTGTTAATAATTTGGAAAAGAAGGGGGAATGGCCTTGACTGATGGTCAGAATTCAGTTCAGAAGAGGTTCTCCTCCCACTGCAATCTGAAGAGGTAGCAATATCTGACCCAGCATCATAGACCTTTCAAGGCCACATATTTTCATTTTGTAAAAACAGAATAATGCAAAATATAAGGTCATTAATGAAATCACTCCCTCTTCCTCAAAAAGATTGATCAGGGGCAGTGGTTGTGACCAAGAGCTGCTAAAAAAAGAAAATCTGAACCGTGTATTTTATCTAACAGTGCCAATGCCCTCAGAAAAACTGCCTGGAGCTTCCATTACAGCTACTCAGAAGAATATTTCACTCCTTGGTGCAGGTGTCCTGCAGAGAGTTGCCAGTGGACTGGGCAATACTTCAGATTCCACCAAAGCTGTTGAAGCCAGCCCAGGACAGCATGATAATTTTCCTCAGTCTGTTCACACAGCTGTGCAGGAAGACAGAAGCACACCATGAGTTGTTGTCTTAATGAAGCCTCCAGGTTTCAGCAGACTGGTTTAGGCCTCCTGCTACAGAAGACCTAACCCAAAACCTATTGCTGTTTGTCAGCATGGGTCTTAACAGCTTTTTTTTTTTTTTTTCCCCCCTTCTCAGGGCCACATGCTGCCCTCTCGTGGGGAGCCCTGCGGATGGTGCCTTGGCACAGCCCTGAGCCCTGTGGCACAGGCAGCACAAACAGGGCAGGTAACACAGGGAGCAGCGGTATGCCAACACCCCCAGGAGCTGCAGCTCATGGAGGCTACCATGACATGTTTCATTTTCACAGCTCCCCAGATCCTCAAAAATCTCCTTATTTGAGCCCCTGTCCAATATGCCAGGCAAAATGGTTCCCAAGAGGTGCATGAGAGAGCGACGAGGCTCTAGCATCTAGCATGTGCCCACAGCATCCCTAAGCCAGACCATCTTCTGCATCAGATTTTAATTCTCCATTACCACATGTGGGAACACATCCTGCTGGGACAGAGTGCTATGGGCCTTTGTTATCCACTCCAAGAGCAAACGGTCAAGTTGGACGTGTGTCCTGTACAGAGCTAGGACGAGTATTTGTAATGTGCTTATTTCAGCACTTCTGCACCCACCTCACACCACAGGCACTGGCTGAGGGGCTTTTTGGACTAGCTGAGGAAGACAGCAATGGCTGCAGTGTTAAGCGTTCGGTTCCTAGAGCTCAGTTCCTTCTTCCACTGAATGAAGTTGCTGTTCTCAGCATGGATGAGCCTTTTCAGGGTTCTATTTTTGTAAGTTTGCTGAGAGAATTAGCACCTACAAGAGCCGGGGCGCAATAGTTGTGCTATGTAAGCCAGACAGGCCCCCTGAGCACTTTTCTGCCAGTCCTGTTTTTAATAACTGGTACGTCTCAGCTTTTCCACACCGTCCCTCACACCAGCACTACATCAGTAACAGCAAACTGGGGGCCACCCAAATTCATGAGCAGGGTTGTGTCACAGACACTCAGTGTCTGCTGGACACATTGATGCTGAATTCCTAGTTTTCTGGAGTGCTTTCTTCATTTCCACATTAAACCCCAGAAAAATCATGATCCCCACCACTCTTACTCGAAGCTGCTACCCATGGCTGGCTTTTACTCCAGGCAGCACCCCCAAAAGCCAGTTGAGCTGGCGTTTGGCAACAGGCTTTCCAGCTGGTGACAGGATGTGTAGCTACAGAGCCTGGTCACAAAGAGGGTGTGAGGCAGATGCTAGTGCTAACGTGGTGATAAACAACTTCTAACCCCTGCCTCTAAATCCAGAGAAAACTCTGTGGCTCCCTGCTGCACTTCATTCACAGCAAATAGTGTATAACTAAAGGACTCCTGGTACTTCCAGATGCAAACGTGAGGTGTGTTTGAAGTCTCATTTGCTCTTTTGCTTAACCTGAACTCTTTCCTGCTGTTCTGGGGCTATGTAATTGAACACAGAAAACTGTAAATAACACACACCCAGCCTTGCAGGTCCTACAGCAGCCCCCGAGGGAGCCCTTCCAGGCCAGCCAGCCCTGCCATGCTCACACAGGGCCCCTGGGTCACGCCAAGGCTGCAGCCCACTGCCAGGGCAGGGCACCGGAGGCCCAGGAGGGCTGTGGGAAGCAAAGCCCCTTGCTGTTGCACTGCAGGTGGCTGCCCCCGAAAAGGGCAGGGGGAGGCCTGGGCAGGCACAGAAGGAACCATAGGCAGTGCCTCCAGCAAGCACAGAGCCCCTCCAGGCACCCACACATAGAACCCACTGCGCCCACCCTGCCCGGCATCCCACTCCTCCCAAGTTTACATCCTGGGCCAGCTTGCTGCTTTTATTAAAACTTTCACCCATTTTTTTTTTTCTGCTCAAGAACTGTATTTTTGGCATTCTCATTTCATGATAACCATTGCACACATGACTATGTTATTGTCAAGTACATATATATAATATATATAAAGACACACACACATATATGTGTGTATTTAACATACCTCTACACTTCTCCATCTCCTGAACTTCTTTCCAGATAGAGATTCTCCATCCAACTCACATCTAGGTTCCTGTCCATGCTTAGTATTTTGTTCTATTTCTTCTAGCACAGCAAGTGGGAGAGAAGGCACAAAAAGCACATTCGGGCTACCACTGCTATATTAGATTCAGGCACAGAAAATGAAGCTTTCCCTAAACCTAGTCGAGCCTAAACTTGCTCTGTACAGAAGTGTTTCATGGATGTTTGTAGTGTTCTTGGTATAACATGAAACTCGAACTAAGAACTACTGAACAACAAATTGCATCTCAAGTGTCCACTTAAGAATATTTCATCTTCCAGTGCAACTTTTTCTCTCCTTAAAACTATGAACCCCCTATTTTCTGATCCCCAGAATCATCACAGATGGCAAATTTCATTGACCGTGATTAACACTCAGGTTTGTAAGTCTTCATTGCCTATTGAATAAACTTCCCAATGAAAAAAGCAGGCTTCCGTTGCATTAGATCAACGTTAGCAGCTAGCCAGTGTGAGGGAATTTACAGACATGTTCAATAAGTAAAAAGATTTCAAGATCATCTTTTCTGATCTATTTTTTTCATTGTGTACTAAATAGGATTTGACTCATGGACTTCAAAAAACATTATTACTCTTCAAAATGTGTTTAATCAGAGCAATCGCTGCACTCTATATTTAAACAGATCTTTTTATTATTTTTTCTAGCACTTAAAATGGTCTAATAAGGTAGTTTAAAAGAGCAACATGCAGAAAGTCATACATAATTTGCACTGACTTGAAGAGAAACTAGATGAGCTTACCTTCTGAGAGTGGAATCTGTCCCTTGAATACTCTAGCTCCTGTTTTCCCCATAGGTGCTGTATTTGCATCACTGCTTACAGGTGCTCTACAGTGACAGCAGAATATACGATGTGGAAAGCAGAGCTCCACACAGAGAGTGACAACCTGCCTATCAGCAAAAGAATTGTTCAAACTAAATGGGCAGTAGCACGATGTGTTGTAGGACAGGTTTGGTCCAGGGATGCCTAGAAACAAACCTACTTGTACCAGCCCTGAATTTGGCTCAAGTTCTTTAAGAAGTACTTGTCTCCTCCAGCAGCAGCCTTGCACAAACACAGTTTGAATGGAGCAGAATTAAAGGGAAGATAGGAAGTATATGTATATTTTAGTTAACAAGTTTTACATTCAGCATCTATTTCATCTGCAGGATGTCATCTATATGCATGATAGAAAAATCATTTGCATTTAAATTTATTTAATTCGGAAATATTTGCAGACCACCAGCCTTGCATTCTGTTCCCAAGGATTATTTTAATACCATTCCTTCCTGGTTACCCACATCAAAACTCTTCTGATTCCTTGGATTTAAGTAAGCTTCAAGTTTTACTTTCAATATTCTACTACTACTTATTTCTGTTACATAAACACCCCAAGGTCCCAGTCAGAATTTCAGCACTGACCGTTCTGGGAGTACACAAGGTAGTGCATACCGACACTCCCCATCCTGGAGGGTATCTGAGCACTCCTGTGTCCATCACTGCAACCTACCACGTGGCAGCATTCACAGTAACAGGAGTAATATCTGAATAACACAGTTTTCTGCTGTGATTAGCCTGTACTCCTCATGCTTTTCTATGATCTCTGTATTTCTGTATGTCATTTATTTTACTGTCTTTTACATGTAAACCAGTGTCAGCTTTTTTCAGCTGATATCTGAATTACACAGTTCTATCTTGCAAAACTGCACCAAATGAACCCAGATGGCTACGTTCAGTTTCACAGAAATCAGTCCTCGTCACTGTGATCAAAGGAAGCTAAGGGTCAAAGAAACAACTGAATAAACTAAGGAGAAGCTATTGGGATTATTTTTATAAAAGTTTGATAGATTGACCACAACTAATAATCTCAATGTAATATCACAGAAACAAATACAGAAAAACAGTATTAAAAATTATTATAGATCAACTAATTTATAATTTCCTATGAGTTATTTCTATTTTTTAATTCTAAGAAATTAAGTCAGTGGATTTAATGAATGGCTGCAGCTCGTCATATAGGAGACATTTTTAGCATAATTATTAGAATTAATGCCAAGATAATTCTGGTATTATAGTAGCCAGAAATATGTGCACCATTGAATAATATGGGGAATTGTATCTTCATGGGTATAGATGCAGGCTAATAATATATTATGTGAAACAGAATGCTACAGTAAGCAGATGTTCCCAGGATAAAGTCTATCTGATGTGCGATACCTTGCTACACAACCATTAATTTTGTCACAAAACTATTATTTAGCACAGCAAAGACAATTAAAAATATTACCCAAGGTTCTCATGCAACTAAAAGTTCACTGGTTTATTTCTCTTATTAAGAGTAACAGTCTGAAACATTTTACATTAATTTACAATCATGAAAAAGATCCTTACGCTTATCTCATGTAGGTGACATTATGTCATCCAGTTAACACTAATTATTATTTCAAAAGTTAAATCCTGTTTTATAAGGTTAAACACTTTTTGAATCATTTGTTGCCAAAAAATAACATCAGTCTACAACCACACAGAAAGTAGAAATTAACATTTCTACAGAGCCACTACCATCGCTATGAAGATACAATGCCAAGTGTTACAACATTCTGCAACAGTCATCCCTTCTCCCAATTTTTAAGATGGCAAAACATTCCTCTTCGCTTTTTCCTGCACACACAGGATCTACAGTAAAAGGGGAAATTTTGATTCATAATGTCAGATCAAGTGCTTCTGAGTCATTTACTTTTTATGCAGAAAACAAACAGGGCTCTGGAGCAAAAAGGATACTTCTTCAAGAAAAGGCAGGTTTTTCTCCTCAACTTTACACCATACACCACACTGATACACTCCTCTCCTTCCACAGACAATAATGAAAATGGCCCGTGCACACAGGGGCAACAGAGAAGCAAAGCTGAGATCCACCGTACAAACCAAAGGCGAGACATTGGTCCCAGAGCAGCCGTGCAGAGCTAGAACAGCGTGCCAAGATGAGATGCAGTGCAATGAACGCAGAGCTCAAGTCAGTAACTCATGCACAGAGCAAAAAAGACCAATTTCACCAATTAAAATATTTGGATGTTTCACAACTTTTGTTTTCCTGAACCCTTGTTGACACCAATCACCCCGACCTGTATGTCACTTAACAACACAAACCAGAAATGTTCGGTTCTGTAGCCTTCTTGTGAGGGAATACAGCAAGAACTGGCTTACCTCCCTTGGCAGGGAGCACACAGACCACAGCAAAGCCACTCTGCTGGGCTTGGCCCAGAAGCTGGCACACCATGGTCCTCTCCTCCCAGCACCCCACCAGCAGGCCTCTAACTCACCCGTGCACTCCAAGCAGAGCTGCAGCATCTCACCCATTTCAAAATGCTCCACTGCCACACAGAGATGGTTGGTGGGTCGTTGCGGCTCACTGACACACTGCATCTGGCATGGGAAGCCAGGAACAGGAGCGAGATAGGGGCTGTGCAGCCAGAGGGGAACTACCGTGAAATACCTTCCTGGGATCTCACCACAACAGTACACTTCACCACAGACGTAGCAAGCCTTTCTCACCACCTTTCCTCTTGTTTTGGCATTCCTCAGCCATTCGTCTCACCAATCATTCTGCCTCATACCTTCCTTCTAGATAATCCACGTCCTCCCTCCCCACAAAGGCAGTGGGGATGCCGGTCAGGATGAAGCACACACGGACCTCTGCTCCTTCCCCTCTGTTGTGCTAATTCACCCCCTGCCTCCCTCTTCCCCGCCAAGCCTGTCTGCTCCCCTTGCTGCAGGTCTGGCAGCCCCGTTCCTGGAACGGGTGCTCACCACCCTGCCACAGAAACCCACAAGCAGCTCTGGAGCAGGAGCAGGAGCCCCAGTGCAGCCAGTGAGGACACAGTTCTCCCTCTTGGCAGTAACACAAGCCCTTTCCCCCCTCGCCCAGACCGTGGCAATTCTTTCAGGGCACCAGCAAGAGGAACACAGCGTCACATCGCCCCACCCTGAGAGGCTCTGCTCCCCAGCTGTGGGCTAAGGCCGCTGCCCCTTCCCGTCACACCACCACCAAGACGTGTCCTTACCACACGGCAGGCTGCACTGCCTCAGAGGCCACAGAACAGGGCTGCCACGGCACGACAGTTCAGCAAGGCTGCATTTGGTAGTATTCATTTGCTCCTAGCAGGGTATGGAAGAGATTCAGACCCTGCCTGTTGATGAGGGTTTCATCTGTCACACTGCGGACGTGGTATTATTCACATACAACAGTTAAATACCACATACCAATGCAATGAAACCCAGGGAGATATAACTCCACACCCTAGGAAATGGAGCATTTGTCCTGGCTACACTGTGAAATCTCAGTACCTTTCCTAAGGGGGCACACAGAGGAAGCTGGGCACCCACCGCACCACTCAGCACTGCCAGTGACCGAAAGACAGAGGTCGTAAATCCACCTCCAAATGAGCAGGACTGCGGCCATCCCCCTTCAAGACAAAAGGCCCAGAAGGTTGATTACACTGAGGAAACTGTTTGCATGGCCAGAGGACAGCAATGTAATGTAAGTGTGGACAGAAAAGCACTGAGACAGCATTTTGATCAACACAGTTCTCCCTACAGGCCCTTTCAGAAGAGCCTTCCCTCACATCAGAAAAACAATCTGAGGAAAAGGACACAGAGTTTGGGAATCTTGAACAGCATTTTGTCATAGACAACTCCTGTAGCCACAGTCTGGTTGAGGAATATCTTTGTACATCTACTTTTCTCCAGCACGACAGGGAAAACAGCCCTTCTCTGCTCAACAAAGTCATTGCAAGGTGCTGAGACAAGGTAAGGAATATAAGGATTGAGGCTCATATAAGAACCTTATACAGGTTTAAACAGTGATGTACAAGAGCATAATCTATACAAAGCCTGCATTTAAAATGGAGCTTCTGTGTTCAACTGCAGGTGCTCAGAGGACAGAATTTTATACTATTTAGAAGAGCCAGTGCCTCATGCTGTTCCAGGCCCATGCACAGGGAGAGCACTGGGCTTTAGCAAAAAATCTGTTCTGTTGTAACATATGCAGCCAGACCAAAATGGAAGCGTCCAGCAGGTCAGGGTCTGTTTTCCATTACTGTGGTGCCCTGGTTTTATTCTGGTATCACTCCATTTAAACCAATAGGTCATTAGCACGAACACAGTGTGATCCAGACCCAGAGCATTCAAGCTAATATTCAACCCTTTGCTTATTCCTCCATATGCCTCATACAACATAGAGTTCAGAGAAAAATTACACCTTGTGCAATTCTTAGATTCACTGGTTTGGACCAAAACTATTTCAATCTTAGCTCTGAATTTCCTGTGTAGAAAAAGTTAAGATAGACATCAATCTTGTTCTCACTTTCATCAAGACCAAACATGAACCCAGTTTTGTTGAGGTAACATGCATTAATGGCAGCCCAGAGTTCATCCCAAACCACACTACTTAGCCTGTCTGTCTTCATTAGCTTTTAGAGTTACTGACGAAGCAACAGGGCAGAGGTCTGCTACAAACTTCTGCTTGGCACCATTCAGTTACAGAAATTATGGGCAGTCTCCAATTCAGAGACCCATAAAGTATACTTGGTACCCAAAAGGTATTATCTGGAAAGGAATCAAAATTCTGTTCACCAAAATATTTGTATTAGCTGAGAAAGCCAAACTCTGCCAAGAATGGAGCTGGCAAGCTTCCCTGGAGTTTCTCTGCCAGTGTGTAAAACACAGAAAGCAGCCCCACCTACCACAACCCCTCTGTGCATGCCCAGGGATGGTTAATTTTTTAACTACAGTGCCAACTATTTGTATGGCCTCAAAAATCTGGAAACTTTAGAGCGCAGCAGCCGAATGAAAGATCTTGGGAACATCTCTCTTGACTCTTGGGCTGTGTACTTGAAGTAGTTCTGTGGATGTGCCAACACGTCGAACAATGCTTTTATCAGTTTTTTGTCCTAGAAAAAGGAAAGCAGATTTTACAGTAATTCCACAGAGGAGATAGGGTCACTATTACTAAAGCTTAATGACTCATCAAATCCTAAAAGATTACGGGCATTTTACTTTTCAAGTACTAATGTTTCAGGGGTTCAGAAACTAGTGGAGCAAGGCTGACATTCAGGCCCCAGGGAAGTCACTGGAATTTCACATCCCGTCACCAGGATTTCTCCCTTTCTCATACTCCCAAGAACAGCATACGGTGGGGGGGAAAACAAAAAAAAAAAAAAACAAAAAAAAAAAAAAAAAAAATCACAAACCAAAACACAAACCAAACAAACACTGGATTTGATATCCAGCAAAAGAAATGTTTACTTGGGATGTCATCTATTCAACTTGCTCATGCAGCTGTCCCCTAACCAAGGTCAAAGAAGTGAAATCCACAGATTTCCCACAGATTTTTTTTTTACCCAGGGAGGAAAAGCCCTTGTTAATCTACAGACTACAAGTAGCAGCACCAAGTGCTTCTCTAAGATATTAAATCCCATGTTTTCCTAGTGGGCCTGATCCACCTTGAATCCCCCTGGGCAAAGGGTCTCATATGCGTTGCTCTGCGCAGTCAGCATGTGCTGATTTACCCCACTTCCTTGAAGTAGCACATGTCTAGTGCATCAAGGAGCAGATCTGATGCAGAGCAGGAGGCAACCTTATTGGCACAAAATAGTGTCATTTTCAATCAAAACCAACATGTTTAGTGGAAGGAATATACCTTAAGTATTTCTTGATGATTTTCAGATGCATAAAGTCTACCATCCCGAACAATGTCTTCTATTAGTTCTTGGTAATCCTCTATGGAGAATGCACAAGAAAGTAATTAGCAGGTTCACTTCACTTACATACTCAAACCTCCCTTGGTTACACATGTATTCCTAGCCCCAAAAGACCCAGTAGTACTTGGCCCTTGTATTAGCAGTCAGAGAATATTGCAAATGCGTTTCTGTAAAGAAATTACAAATACTATTCACTATGAAAACAGTGTACTCTGCTGAGCTGCTCAGCATCAATCTGTCAAAAGCAAAGGAAATCATAACGCACCTAGGATTGTAGTGCATACTGTAGTCAAGTAGCCTGCTTCAAACCAACTGCACTGGAGAAATTTATCTGTAAATACCCACAACCTTTTACTGACTACTTTCTACAGTAAGAAGTTAAAAAAGGGGTAAGAGGAAGCTTTCTTAAAAGCCAACCTCCCTGGTTCAATGAAAACTTGAAATGCTTCAAAAGGAAAGGTTTCCCCTGAAAAGTTAATGTTGATGAAGCTCTGCAGACCACAGCAAGGATGAATCCTTCACAATTAATCTGGTGTGAACAGAAATGTGCCATATCATTTCCACATCACTTACACTGAAGTGCAAAGACTCAGCTCCAGTTTCACTCCTGGTGACTCTGACTAGGATAGGGTGAAACACTTGCCCCTCAAGCTTCTTTTCAATATAGATATTTTGCTACCTGGTACTGCATTACAGATAGTAGCAGCAACACAATAAATCATAGACACTTGGGCTCTGCCCAATTCCTAACTGGGGGGGACTTTGCTGTCACCTGAAGCAACCCAGAACTGGGAAGGCACAGAAATGCATAAAACCCAGATTCTGGTTCTGACCTCTGCATTTTGCAGGTTGGAGCCCAGAATCACAACTCTTTGTTTAGGTTGGTAAAAGATTGGAAATACAGTGGCACGTAAGACTGCAGTGCAATGCAGAATTCCTTAAACTAGCTTTAAATGGAAACAGCTACTGGAAGTAGTCTCATAGTAACACTGCTGAGAGTGTTGGGTTACCCTGCTGCTTAGCAGGGTCAAGGAGCCCACAAGGAGTTCTGCACTGCTGCAGCTGCACTGGTCCTCATCAGCTCAGCTGCTGACATCCGCTTACCATCATACGTTACATAAGGAACTTGGAATCCTTTGGCACTGTTCCCTTCATTCGACTTGAACTGGATCCACAGCTTCTTAGACCTAGAAGTGAAAGCTATAGGACGTTCGTAGGTTTGACAAGTTTCATACGTGGTCACTGAGTTGGAAGAAGCTTTCAAAGAAAACACACAATAGGCAGTTATCTGACAACACTTCATACTAATGAACAATTAGAAAATACGTTAAACTACCATGACAAGAAATGCTTGCTAGTGTTAAGAAAACTTCTCAAAATGTGTCAGGCCATCAGTGGATGGCAGGCCATCAATGAGTGACTTCTTGGTCAGTAATATTTTCCCTTTTCCTAAAAAACAGTCTACTGTTTGAAGAATGTGCCTATTCTATAAACTGAAGCTGTTCATTCATCCGTCAGGCACCTGTAGGGACTAGCAGGCATCTATTCTTTCCTAACCCAGGCTAGAATTGCTTAGCATAATTAATGACTAGTTATCTTGAACCATCTACCACCTCTTAACAATATTTCTCTCAGAGTTCACTGACACATCATAGCCTTGCACCCTTGTTTCACCTGAATCTATGGAGCCAAATATCATATATATATCAAATATCAAATATAATCCTACCAAATAGGATTTCTCAATCTGTCATTTAAAGAAATTTCTACTCTTAAGTAGATGCCAGCCAGGCTACATTTAGTTTATGTAAACAGCAATGCATGTGAGAAACCTGTGTTGCACACAGATAGATACCATATGCCTCAGTAGATATTTCAGACTTACAGCTTTTTCGCATCACCAGGTAGTCTCCACACTCATCTTCTATTGGTAGAAATATTTCTGGAACCACAATGAGAATACGGCGCTTTGGCGGTGGGTTAATATTCCAAGTGCACTCAGTGTTTGCAGGATAGTCCCCAGGATAGTTTGGTGATTCAATATATCCAGTGTAATCTCCCAGTTCACCACCACACTGCCTATCTGAAAAAACAATATAGTATGCAAGACTAGGCAAAGTGAGGTCATCCTACAGCTCTCTCTGCAGTCAGAAACAGTACATGGCTGACAATATATAAACTTTTCTTTTGCATCTGATGCAGGTACAGCTCTCTTTGCCCATTTCACTTCACATTGATTAAAACACGAAGGCAGAAGCAGGCAACAATGTTGAGACATGAAATGCAGACTAGACCCAGTTAACACAGCCACAGTGGCAAGGCAGTTGTAAGAGGACAGAGAAATGGTACAGCAAGGATGCTCCACTTGCTTGTACCAGACAAAATGTTTTTACAGAAGTATCAGCTGAAGTCTAACTGGAGTCTGAGGTGTTTTACTCAGGCACCATGCCTGCAGCAGCACAAAACAGGGAATACGGCAGGCCCTTTCTCTGAACAGATCAGCATTGCTGGCAGTAAGAGAGGGTGAACTCCAGTGCAGGATGCTTTGCCTGTGCTCCCCAACTCTGTGTGGGCACATGGGTCTGGGCTCTACAGCACCGTAACAGCGATGGGCGGGTGTGACCTGCCCAGGGAACAGATTCTTTAAGTGAGAGACATGCAGTGCCCAGAAACATATTTCTATGTATGTATGTGTATATACATCTGTGTGTTTATAAGTGTCTCCAGAGGTGGCTCTGAGGAGTTACCTCTCTGCTTTCTCTTTTCTCTCTTTAATTTACTCTCAACTTCCCACACTACAGCTACATAATCTAGAACAGTGGTTCTCTTTGCAATTGCCTCTTTCAAAGGTTGTTATTAAGAAGAAATGGTTACTAGGGCTATTAAGCTTTGTGATCCAACTTCCATTCCTTTTGATAGAAGGGAAAGAAATCAGGGCACCAAGAGCATGAACTCTGGTATATGATGGGAGAAAAGATTTAATAGCAAGACCCAGAGTGAGCCAGCACCAACTGGCAAGACACAATCACTTACCTTAACAAGAATGACGGGACCAGTCTGCAGAAACAGTCTCTCATGGACCTCAGTAAGCCATGCAGGATGAGAAGCAGTCAGGCAGCAAGAGAAGCAACACCACTGCCTTCTCTCCAAGCTCCCTGGAGCAAAGCTAAATTTTGCCCTTAGGTATACTCTGAATATTAATGGTCCAGTCTTTTTATTTGTAAGAGTTCATCAAAACCATCTTGCTATACTTACTTTTGCACTGTGTTATATTTGTTGACCCATCAAAATCAGTAGTGGTGTTTCCAGGGCATGAAATGCAGTGATTTTGTCCAAACTCAGGCTGGTATGTCCCAACTGTGCAGCGAATGCACCGATGAGTTGTGGTGTTATAAAAATGGCCAGGTGAACACTGAACTGGAGAGTAATTACATATGCAGTATGGTCAAAAAAAGTGGCAGTAGCACATTAGAATGTGATTTTATACATTTTTATAGGACCTAGTACAATTTCAATAACAGAAATGTCATATTCATAAACAATGAGGGTAATAAAGCAGAGGTGATTGAACAGATTTTAGTTTACTGGGTCACTGTGGAAGTTCAAAAGTCCCAAACGCAACACTACAGCGCAGTTCTGTGTGGAAAGAGTAATAAAAGGTATGGGGGACTGAGTATAACTACCATGATTTTGTAAGCAGGACACCAAGCAGAAGAGTGTGTTACCAAATGGTCTAGCCACCGTCATTCAACTTAGAAGATGAACTGTATGTGGAAATACTAACTAAACCTTTCCTTCCTGCCAGCTAATGCCAAGCAGCAGGTGCACTGCTGCTGCACCCTAATATACCTGTGATCAGCTCACCACAAGCAGAGGTGAAAGGCTTTGGCCTTCTACAGTTGGCACATTGCACCAATATTACTGACTAAGCTGCTATTGCTGCCTTCTCTCATGATCACACACCATCTTGCGACAACAAGCCATGACTCAGGGTACAGCCACCTCCACCAGATCTGCTGCTACTTTATTTCATCATGTCACGTAAATCATTGTGTAAGCTAGACACATAAGCTATCGCCCTCACAGGGCTTGCTGAGAGTGCCTCCTGCATCACCAAAGCCAGACCCCATTCTGACATACAAACTCTTTCATAAACAGATATTTATGGAAGCTTTAGACATGAGATAGACAGACGTATGGGAAAAATCCTTTCTAGCAGACTTGTAACTTTTTTTCTATATGCAGACAGGAAGATTTTCTTCTCCCATTGCAATCTAACAATACAGGACCTCAAACACTTTTGCTTACATCTCTAATACGCTTTTCATTTGGTTTTGTTTAGCTATTCAGCATCTATGCCCATCATCATCTGTACTGAAACCTAACAGAAAGCAGGCAAGAGCATCAGCCGTATATTATCTTTGCTCTTAACCCCATCAACACCTTGTTGCTTTTTGCTTGTCCTTTTTCTTTGTGGGACTAAAAAAAAGTTAAAATAAAATCTCTTCCTATTACTTTTACCTCCTGTGCTAAGTTCCCCTCTCTCAGCTCATCATCAAAATAATTTACTACCTTGCCTTTCAAATGTAGTATTTTGTGCTGCACAGTCCCTTTTTCCTATTCATTTTAAGCTCTGCTTATCCCCAAAGAACTCTAGTCTTGTCGAGCTTTGTAAACTGGCTCAGCCTGGAGTCCTTCCCTATGTGCTCCACCCCCCAATCCAAATGCTTCAGATACAAGTTCCAAATAGTTCTTGCATCTGTGATTCCATGTCTCATGTGGCCTCTTCCACATGCAAATCCCTGAGCTCTTCATTCCAGTTAATACAAAAAATTCCTTTAATCTCCACTCTAATTTGAAAACTGAACCTCATTTATAGACCTGTTAACCGCATTTATAGACCCGTTTATGTTTACGTTAAATAAAACTGAAATCAGTTCCTCTTATCCTGATCCAAGGTTTTTAACATGTTTTTTTGTGCTTTAACTTTGCAAAATTAAGTATGAAACAACAGCATCTGTGGTTTCAATGATTCTTCACTGAAGAAGTCTATTAGCTATCACATTATTACCGGTAATATTAATTCTTCAACTATACTGCAAAATTCTTCTATTATGTTGCAATTCTCAATAGTAAACATACCTTAACTGACACTAGAGAGATCTCTTAATCCAAAGTACTTCCAAATGTTTGCAACAGGACCTTATTTCTACTCTACAGCAGTAGGTTTTCTATTAATACTTTTTCTTCAGGTGATTTTAATAAAAGTAATGTTCTTTTAGCTATGCTTTAAGACACCAAGCAAACCATTATACTGATTAACATTTTGTCTCTCTCCATGGACACATATTTTTATCAGCATTTTCAAAGACAACTTCATAGCTCTCTTTCAGCTTTTTACATTTTAGAAAACTAAAATGCTAACAAAATTCCCTCATTTTTAAAGATATGATACCCACCCAATTTTCATTCATGTGAGGAAAACCTTGGGAGCTGATTGCATGTCAGTTCTGCTGTGATCAAATTTAAAGGGCTGTCAGAGGTACTGCAGGGTTAAACTGAATGCTACCTTTTAACGTATATCTCAAGGCATCCAAGCCAGTTTATCATTATAAACATGAAGAAATTGTTTTCTTATTTATGCACCAGGACTACAATTCCCTCCTTCACATTTTTTTGTTGCTGCTGTGCTCAAACCCAAAATGTCAACAAGGCATACTGGGCTTGTTTTTTTTTTTCTTTAGTCTATTTTTTTTCTCCCTGCTGTTCCTTTGTAAGACTTCACAGATCAACAACTTCACTGACCAACTTCAATGTATCTCCCAAACCCTTCTCAAGTATTGAAAAAAATCAGTTATAAAAAGAACTGAGGCTTTATTGAGTTTCCTTGCAGACAGGCCAGGCCAGCCAACTATGAGACCACTGGAAGGAGAGATCCTTGAAAGGAGAATGACCCTTCTTTGAATTCCCCATTTGTAGCAGCAGCGCTTACTTTTGCCTTGGAGCAACGTAGTTCATAAAATGAATCTTCACCCTACCTTTGGTCTCACAGTCCTGAAACAAGAATGCACTGCTGTGTCTTGTTGTTAGACCTCCTCCGCAGGGAAAGCAGGATACTCTCCCAGCTTCAGGCTGGTACGTTCCAAGGGGACATGGCAGACAGGGTTTGAAGCCGTCGGGAGAATATTCACCTGGTGAGCACTGATCTGGAAGAGGAAGAACACACTTGCTTCAACCTGTACATCATAGGTGAAGGTATGTTAGTGAGCCTGCACGGGACCTGAAACCCCTGGTGAAACTGCTGCCCTCTATTGAGAAGTGGGAGCCAGGGTTTCAGAACTGAATACTCACAACAGACAGAAATTAATACATTCAGTGTACTCTGTAAAACTGAAACAGACACTGATAGTCTCTGGTGCTAGTGAGCTCTTCTGTGAGCTGGAATGGCTTTCACACTTCATTGCAAGGCTACACTGGACACGAGGCCTATCCAGTACTCTGTTAATCTGTACAGTGCAATTATGTAGTGATTATTTCTTCTTTCTAGCTAAAGAACTCTTGGAATCCTCCCAAATGAAATAATTTAGTACTGAACCTAAGATGCCAAAAATGTACTTCCAGATTTCTGTAAGTATTTTGATCTTAATAATATCGAATATTCATACTTCCTAACTCTTGGTGTTACCAAATTGTGTGAAAAGCTCAAGTGCAACAAGTAATTGTGCAAATTCACTAAACTAAACATTATCCATGCCTAAAAGTCCTTTAAAGCAGAAATATTCTTGACCTTCCTCTGATACTGGATCTTGGATAATGATTGGCTGTGCACCGAATTACTGTGTTCTGTATGGTGCATAGATATCACTAGCTCAATCTGACTGATTTTACTTAAACACACACCTCAATATTATCTAACAAGCCCGGCGATATTTATGGGTATCTTTGAAAAACTTCAGGACTCAAACTTTTCACAAAAGAACCGGCTTCAGTGCCAGTATTTAATAATTACCCTGCTCTGGAAAGGCACAAAACACTGTTGCAGTTGTTCAGCTGTGCTGAAAAATTCTGTCCTTTTAAAGACCTGTTACGATAATAAACTGTTAGTTTTAGTTTATAGCTCCAATAAATCACTAGTGAATAGCTGTTTTGTTAGGAAGTTAAACTGGCCTTGGCTTCATTTCAGGATATATGACTAACAACAAGCAGGGCATTAACTACCGGTCATGATCAATGATGAAGAGTTTTGTTTATGGCTGATACACCGAGTGGAGTAGTGAGTGTTCCTCCTTAGCTTAAAAATAAAATACAGCAGTTTAAGCAATACTCTGTAGCTTATCAGCGAAAGCTAGTGAAGAAGTCTTAGCTCTTGGTTCTGACTTTCCACCACACATCACTTCTGCTCTCATAAGGACCCATATTCATTTGCTCCCACACTTTTCAAGCCTTTCTTCATTTTATAAACATTCCTACAGAACACTCATCTCTGTACTCTTTGTGCAACTCAACAAACATGAATGAATTAAGGCTTTCATTGCAGCACTCCTAATAAGGTAAAGAAGGAGCACTATTTACAATTTCATGACAAGGAAAGACAATCCAGGTTAGTAAAGGTGATTCTGAGAAGTGGCTACTGACTTCAGAAACCCAGAAGCAATGGAAAGACCAGTGCAAATCTTCTCCTTCCTTCAAAAAAATTCTACGGCTCTATGAGAAATCAATGCTCTGAGTGGCATCACCAGAGACTATCTGTTCTCTGCTATCTCCCCTTAACTTGTCTTTTTCCCCTTCATTTTAATCACATCAAGTTTGGGGTGGTTTGTTTTTTGTTTTGTTTTTGTTGTTTTTTTTTTTTTGTTTTTTTTTTTTTTGCATTGGGATGTCTTTGTTTTGGTTTTATTTTGAACAGAATGCTACTTTGACACATGTAAAACCATACAAATTCAACCTTAAATTGTACTTCAGGTTTCCTGAACTTGCTCAGAGTCCAGCATAACAGTAGGCCAGTTAGCAGAGCTCAAAGTAAACCTGTCCCAGGCAGGAACCAAACCCACCACTTAGGTGGAAATGTTACATTTGAGAACTTATCCCATGAGATCTCTCTTGACAACTTATCTGCACCTTACTTGCCTTAAAACTGCATATTGTAAAACTGTTGATCTCCCTGTGCAATAAAACTGAGTTAACCTAAATCTCCCAGGATTATTTTGCAAAGTGCCTAGTTTTTGAAAATTTGCATTGCAGAAGTAAACTTAAAAAGATTTCCTCAGGCATCACTGAGATGCTCAACATGAGGCATTCTTAGATGCATTTCATGACTGAATTCTGAGAGCAAGAGGAAGGAGGGGCAGAAGCATCAGATAGTCTGTTTCTGTGCCCTACCTCCATATTGAGAGCTGTGAGCTCCAGCTACTTTTTGGTTTCCAGGACTCTGAGGACTGGGGCAAGAGTCACAAGTTATTTATCTTTCCTCATTCTGTTAAGTTTTATTAGGGAATAAAACACAACTTTCTCATTCCCCATTTTAGTACATTCCCACACTTCAGTTAACTAGCAACAAGAAAACAATACCAGGTCACTAACATTTAGTGTCTGTGGGTTCAAAGCCAAATTAGGTGGTCAGCAGCTAGGCTGCCAGGATAATGTGCAACATGATACAAAGACTATGTTTACACAAGTATTAATGCTGATCAACTGTCAGGACTTCTGCAATTTGGCAGTTTCCGTGTACTGAAATAAGACCTTTTGTTTCAACTTTGCTCAGTGTTAATCTCAGGTCCATTAGGCTGCACTGGAGCTACACGCCAACTGCTTCAGGCCCTGTTTCCCTCCTGTCTTCCACTGGCACTGGCTGTCCCAGGGATGCACTGTGGCAGGTCAGCAGGCTGGTTGGCTATGCCTGAGACAGTGCCTGCAGAGACACAGAGGGCTGACACAGCAAAAGGCAGGAACTGTGCAAAATCAACCTGGGAAAAAAGAAAACTTTTCCGTTCGATCTGAACCAATCAATTCAAGTATTTAATTTAGATTTTCCTGAAAGGTGGCGACAACAGAAAGAAAATTGTAAAAAGAAGTCCAGCTAACTACCACCGCTGTAATAGGGTGTGTAAAACCAGCTGAAAAAAAAAGCTGTGTACAGTGCAGTGGTTACAATTGTGAACTAGCTTGGAGAGAGAAAAGGATCAAGCGGAAGGACAGAAGAGAAGCTGACCCAGCATGGACAGAAAGCCATTTAATTACTACCCAGATCTTTCAGTATGAACTACTGCTTAAAAACAAGCATATCTGGACAAGAGCATCTTGCTGGAGACAAACCAGGCTGACAGAAGACTCCATCTGGAGGAGCAGTGGGCTTGTTCTGTGTGCCCATGGGGTGTGGGTTCACAGAACACCACCGCCCTAGCTGGCCACTCTGCTCAGAAATCACTGCACATTGTTATCAGAGTCCCAGCATGTGCAGTGGCCTTCCAAGACAGAGCAGGCGAGGGGAGCACTGGTTGCTTTTACAGAGGAGGTCACTGGTTTATGAAGCAGCATATGTGGTATGCCCCCTGGAACTGGGGAGAGTAGCCCTACATAGATAGGCCTATGAGGGCACTGCACATGTATCCATATCTGATGTTACTTTGTGCAATAATGAGCCTTATTCTCAAAGGTGTAAAGCACCGCTCAATTTGAAATCAATTAGACTTGAAACAAGCAAGCAACTCTGGATTAAGTTTATAAAGTATGTAAAATACTGAGACTGGGGAAATTAAGTTTTAAATATTGCTCTGCCTAGAAAAATGCATAACCCTGTCTTTCTCCCACTATGACTTCTGAGACACACCAAACACTTCAAGCCTTAATAGATCCTATGTGCATATGAGAAAAGAGGTTAACACATCCAGATACAGATTTAGCAACTTACAGTCTAATGAATACTCATTATTCAATGCAAATATTAAAACTACTCCAAGTGACGCTCTAGGTTTAATGCTTCAAGTTAAATATATCAGTTTCTTTACATGCCTACATCAAACCAAGCTTTTCGAAGCGGTACAAGCATCCAGAAAATTTGACCCGCAAACACATTCCCTGTAAACTGCTCCCAGCTCCACCCCATCTTCCACCTAGAAATGTTCTAAAACACAGGCCACTCATCTAATCCACTGGAGCACAGACCAGAGGTAATGAGGAAAGCCTGTTTAGAAGCTCACAGCACTCACCAGGGCCCAATTTAGCCTAACAGACAGACTTGGTGTTAGGTTCAATTATAGTAACATTAATTATAGAGACATTACATCAACACAGAAATCATCCCATGGAAATCCATAGGACTGGGCATGAAATTAGGATGACACAAATGAACCCTCTCTAAAAAAAAAAAAAAACAACAAACTAAAAAACAATAATAACAAAAAGCAGCCCTAAGAGTTCAAACTTTTCCTGCCATTTGTTTAAATTAAAGCAAAAAAGCTTATGAGCTTCATTTCACAAAACTAGAAACTGCATGGTCCCACCTGACACATGGAAAATACCCAGTCGAAACAAGATCTGAAGATTTGCAAATAATGACATTAAATCAGAATTCCACTGGCTGGCTTTGCTCTTTTTTCAGAAGCCTGATTGTTTTTCTCCAAATGAACAAAAGAACCAATTGCCTCTAGTAGACTTCGTTTCTGCAGCCACTGTCTTTGTTTATCTTCAATACCCACTAAAAACCTGGTCTTGAGTGTCATGCAGCTGTTTTAAAGGAAAAAAAAAATGTGAAAGCTTTTCTGATGCAAAAACAAGAAGAAAGCTGGGGGGGGGGGAGCAGGGGTTGGAAAGAGGGGCCCACAGGGAACCAGGATTAACAGTTACAAAGACATTTAAAGGCTCTTCCCTTCTTTTCAACACTTCAGTCTTTGAGCCTTTGCTCCTATAGACAAATGCTGTAGTATTTCAGTGACTGAGAAGGTGAACCCCATAAAGGAGGTCATGATCTACCAATTCACTATTTTCTTAAGAATGATGCCTTGACTTTATAAGGAAAGTCACAAACAACTGATGCAAATTGATTCTGAAGCGGCATCCTTTAAGTTATTGTGTTTTAGCATTTCACACATTTAGGTCACATGAGATGGTTATGCATCCTAAGGATTTGTGTCTTAAATCTATGATTGTCAGAGCAAGCAGGTTAGCAGAAAAATAGCACCCTTTCTCCCATTTGATAATCCATTTCTTCTTGTCAGATTTTTTATAAAATTGTAAAAAACCCTGCAACGTACAGTTCTTTTATGTAACACAACTATTCACTGTAACAAATGCAAAGGCAGGTAGCACTTTGATTTTCTCTTTAAATATCCCTCTCATTGTTTTATAATGCCAGAATCATACCACATCTAAACTTTGACATGTGGTTCATCATTTTGTATGAAAAGTTAATATTTTATTTGCATCCTTGAAATTAAGGGGACAAAACTGCTTAATGCTAAGCAATTAAATGCATTAACACCTCCCACTCAAGATAAAGCTGTGCAGCATTTACATCAGAGCAGTGTCTATACCAGCACTACTCATGCTTGCCATTCTCTGAAGTGGCAGCTCTTGGGATGAATTCACTTGCGACTACCGTGCAGCAAGGGCATGCTCACGTGTCCTTTTACACACCAACTTCAGGCAATGGTACTTTTCATTGCTTCCTTCCATCTCTTAAAGTATTCATCTATCCAACACAAAAAATACCAAATGGAACAGGCAAGGTGTCCTTTCAACTCCATGGGGTGCGATCAAGGTATGACAGAGTTTTAAGCAATGGAAAAGCAGCTAAAATTCTTGTTGTTTCTCTCTCAGTGAAAACTACCTGAGGGCAAAAGGGTCCCAATATATAACAACTTCTCTTTCAAAATGAAGGTTTCTGGTAAATCAGTTTCTGATAAGAAATTGCTAGTATTTAAACAGTTGGTCTTTGATTGTTAAATCTGTCCAAAGTCTAGCTCATACTGGAAAATGAATATTTGTAGCCAGGTTAGTGAATGAAACTGCATTTTCCCCAAGACAGATCTCCTCCTCTTGAACAAGCATGTAGTATTTACAGCATCTTCAGATGGTTCATCCAGTCTGGAAGCACTGTCATTCAAACATGCATGGGTTTTACCGTAAGATTTAATTCAGTGTGGAAAGATCACACTCCTGCTATGAGAATGCAGTGCTCTGGGAAGGTTGATGAAGGTTCCATTTTGCCTTATGCATTTCCTGTAATATACATTAGTAGAGTAGGTCTCTGCTTGTTGCTCATTGGAAACCATTCACAGGATTTCATGGTATTAATCAATGTGAGCCAATGCTAAATATGCTTACTCATTGATACAGAGCTCACACATAACAAGGTAGACAAATGCAACACTTGAACCTCTAAAGCATCAAAAAATCCCAAACAGAACTGTATGTTAAACAGCAAACTGGAAGTAAGATACACTACTGCTCAGAATCAGCAGTGAATTCCCTTTTACCATCAACAGATCTTTGAAGAACAACAGACATACACATGCAACCATTCATCACATTGAGAATGATGCAATACCTTTGAAATCACATCTAATCTGCTCCCAGTGCCCTTCTGGAACTTTTATTCTGTGCTGTGCCCCACTGCGGACAGTAAGAGTTAAGACAGGAAAATCAGGAAAAATACTACCTCACTATAAGCATGAAACCAAGTGAAGTTTAGCTTACTGACACAGCTGCAGGCCAGTTACCTAAGACAAAAGCTGTCAGAGCAGGAGTTGGACTTTCCCTCTTATACTGCTCAGATACAACTGTTTCAGACAGTGCTGTGCCAGAAGTAGTCTATCACAGGAATAGGACCAGTACAAGACTATCAATAAAACTATATTTAACATAGCCGTAACTCCAAGTATTTTGTTTTAAAAAATGCATCTGAAAACAATTAACTGAAACCTGCACTTCATTCACTATCTGTATCACAGAAGGCTTGTAAGTCCCCGGACTTACTTTTTTCCCCTCACTGTTTCCTGCTCCTCTGGGTCAGACTGAGCAAAATCCCTTTGTCAAAGTTCTCTTCCTGTCCAGAGACGACACCCACCACCTGCACTGAATCCATCTGCTGACCTGGTATCTCTTGCTATGGAGTCACTTTCTCCCCAGAATCATTAGCATGTCTAGATAAGCAGGGCCCCAATCCTGTCCAGAAGTTCTCAACAGCTCCGCAACAAAAAAACGTGACTCTCCCACGCACATTCCTGAGCTAGATTCTTCCTCCTCTTCCACACTGCTCCCACTCCATTCTCTTCTTCCCAGTCTCTTTCTTAGCTCCTCCTGACTGGCAGTCAAAGCAGCAGCCTCCCAGTGCCGCCTTTACCATACACACTGGGACAATCAGCTGCTTCTAAGGAAATGAGGCGTATGTAACAACACTGCCTCTGTGTGTACTTTTGTGTCCCCTCAGCAACTAGTGAAATTTCTGCTCGCCTTCCAGCAATATGACAAAGGATGCAGAGAGGTTTCAAAGATACAAAGTTTCTGTATGTTTAATATAAATAAACGGGGAACATGCAAGTGGAGGAGAGAGACCTGCATCCATGCAAATAAGGCTTTGGTGCAAATTCCATCTTGTGTTTGATCACCGCAAATCTACACAAGGATATGGTCTGAATACTTCAGCTAAAGAAAGGAAGATTAATTTAGTGATTGCACCTCTTTAGGCACAAGAAACTCAAACTGTAAGGCGTGAGATCCACAGGCAATCATATCTTACTGATTCCATTGCTCACAGCAGCACCTGTTAGGATGTCCAGAGCAAACTGTGGCACCAATTCAGTGACAGAAGAGGCCTGACTTTTACAAGTTGCTCTTCAAAACATTTGTCTTTATATGCTCAGTGTCTCTGTTTTAACCACGAACAAGCTATTTGTGTTCACCATACCAAGGAGTTTTCCAGGCATTCTCCAAAACCCCCCTTTCTCTCTGAACTAGCACAGAAATACCATATAAGCTTCTCATTTGTGATGAGAAATTAAACTGGTTTTGCAGCTAAAAAAAATGTCTATTTGTTTTTCCAACTTCTAATTGTAACTCACATTGCCTTCTCTACCTGCACTATTTTTATCTTACTCATTGCCAATTTGTTCAGATGAAATCACAAATGTCTTGAAAGCCATAATGTGCTCTGTACAATGGACTGGAACAGTTTTTCAAAGCATTCCTCCAGTGTCCATAATACAACAGCCTGAAAACATCCATGTAAACTCATCTTGGTGAACTTTCCGAAGTCTTTCAGACTTATTACAATGTTACCAAAAAGAAAAGAAAAAACTTACAGCTTTTTCCAACAGAATTCCTGAGTAATTTCCTAATCTGCTTGTTTGCACAGATGTTTTAACACCAATTCCTTTTTCTATTCTACAAATCCAAGTTTTTCCAGAGTTAGCAAAACATTATTGGAAAACCTATTCTGAGGGTGACTCTGGGTTGTTGCTGGAAGATGCACTAATTCAATCTGACAAGCAATTTAAAGGCTTGCTGATTCACAAAACCACCTACATGCTGCCTACCCTATGCAGCCTGAATTAGCTGTCATGGTTGTTAGGCCCCTGTTAAGATAACATCTGACCCCTCTCCTTAACTTTTGTGCTTTGGAAGCATTTATTATGGGCTGCATTACAGTGGTGCCCTCCAGTGCCACGATAATTAAGATTTTTCTTAGTACTGGCCTATAAAACCCCTGTTCTCCATTAATTTGTAACTGTCATGAAGATTCTCTGGGACTCAGAGCATAACGAGCAAAGAGAATGTGACTATCAAACTCTGCTCAACGTTTTGTTTGGAACAGGCAAGAGATGAAATGTTAAGTTCAGAAATGCAGTGTTACACTGGGTATTAAATGTAGTATTAAAAAGAACACTGGTGATGTCAAGGCCATTAGTGCCTGATATTACTCCCATGTTTTCTGCCTTTAAGCTTACTGTAGGCTGTGCATCACCTATAACAAAGTGCAATGCACTGAGTCCCTTTTCTACTCTGTAACACAGCAATTGCCAACAATAAATACATAAAGGGGCACATCTCAGTAGCACAAACAGTAACCCCTACTTCTTCACACACAGCCCTGGACAAGCATCCCATGATCCCCCCCAAGCTCACCAGAGCTGAGCAAAACAGTAAAACAGAGATGATGGTTTGTTCCTAATTTACATTTACTTACCACATCTATTACCCACATGTATCTGTCCTACACCACAAGACTGCTGCGGCTCTGACAGCTTGAGAGACTTTCTGGCCACTTCGTGGTCCATGCCAGAGACACGAATGCGGAACTGGTCCCTGCTGACTGTCTTCCGTAAGGTTCGAATGGTTTTACGGAATCTCTTTTCAGTCTTTTTCCGAGCACAGCGCACATCACATGTGTCTGAAAAGTATCAAGCATGGAAGCTGATATAAGTGACCACGCACAAAAATCCACCAAATTCAAAAGACCAACCAATGCAAATCACTGAGAAAGCAACTTCTGTGAACAAGTCTGCAATCCTTAAGGACAACACCACCAGGCTAGAAGAAAATTAATCAGATCACAAGACTTCAATCTATGGGTAGCTCTTTGATCTTTGAAACCATCCCTCACTATTTTTGAAGCAGTACAATTTATTTTCAAAACAGGAGATACTTTTTATTATCATTTTGCATATAGATAGAAGTGAAAAATACAGAAATTAAGGAGCAATCGGCAAGAAGCTTCAAACCGCACCTTGGATTATTTTCCAACCAACCTGTCACCTCCTTTTGGCTTGTTTCAAGCTCAAAGTCCGCAGTGATAAAAATCTCTCTAGTCGTTGTCAGTCTACTGAGGGCTCCATGAACTTTCTTGCCAGAGCTGCATGTTAGGTTTACATAGTGGAAGCTCTCCATTACTGAATTATGTCTCTCTGTATGAACAAAATTAAAGGAAGCAAAAGCTTGGCCAGCTATGTTATTGAACATTCACTAGAGCTCAGCTCATATGTTGTCAGGAAGAATTAAAGGGGAGTAAATGATCAACTCCACATGCCAGTAAATAAACCATCTGGCCAGTTTCTCAACTGGTACACCCTCACATAGAATCATGACTCCAGGGCACCTACAGATGTACTGTCAAGGCTGAGACTCTGGCACTGCAGCGGGTCTGGGGCAAGATCCACTGCTCAGATGAGAGCTGGGCTGCAGTGCTCAGCCCGCTTCCCCTGGATTTTGCTAGCAGGTTCTAATGAATTGCCTTTGCTTTATGCAAGGCATGTTAAAACCACGACACTGCCTACATCAGGAAGGAGACTCGAGGGAAAAAATTTTGCACTCATATGAAGCATGTGAAGAACATGTTAGCTTATACCGGTGTTTAAATTAAGTAGTGTCTATGTACACAGGACATTCAGACACCATTTTCAAGGTTTCAATGAGGAAATAAGATTAGTTAAAGAAAACATCCAGAATAAGCTTTGGTTCTGGAGTATATAACTCTGCATTGAGCATCTAGTGTAGTTTCTCACTGTTACTCTTCTAAGGACAAACAAACTGTCATGCTGATTCATCATACTGTTTAGTGACTTCTTCCCCCAGCTCTTCAGCTCTTTTTTTTTTTTTTTTTTGAAATGTACTCCTCCTCATTTTCTGCTGACTTTGTAAATTCCCAGGCTATATTTTCTGCCTTGGAACAGATGGAAGAGCTGACTTCACTGTGTCCATCTGGGGCTGCTGAAGCATAAAAGGAAGACAAGAGAAGAGGAATAACTCTTTGGGTCAGCATAAAAGACCAGGAGATGCTTCACTAAGGCATCAGACAGTAAGGAGCAGGTGACAAAGGAAAGAACAGAAAGAAGGGAGAGAGAACAGAAAGGAAAGGAAGAAATCAAAAGAATGGTTGATTTTACTGAGAATTTATTAGCATTAGTACAAACAAAAAAAAGGAGAAGGGCTTTCCTAGCAAGACTAAGGTTATCACAGGGAAGTCCTGCGATCTGAAATAACTATTGCAAGAATCATGGCTGGGAAGGAGTGCGATTCATGTGTCAGGGAAGAGGAGAAAGTTTGCAGTCCTCTATTCTTTGCTAGGGGTGTACGTCATATCTGGAAAGCACTTAACCCCCGAGATGTGGCTCTAACCTGCTTACCTGCATTTTTATATTCATACCTGGTATCATCTCTTCCAGACCTTCTTGAAACATCTCAGTCTTTTTCAAACTACATTTTCCTTCATTTAATTTAAAGGTTACGCTTATCTTGATGGCTGAAGTATCTTCAGGAAGAAACAATGACAGATTATTTTAAAAAAGGAATAGAAAATTTCGATAACCCTAATGCCACATCATACTGATGACATCAAAAATATGCTGTTATAAAGTGAAAAAACAGTCATCACAGAAAACTTATTGACACCAGCTTCCTCTTGCTGTGAAGCTGGTTCACAACTGGAATTGAATCAAAGTGTGATAGTTTTTTAGTCAAATTAAAAAAAAAAAAAAAATCAAGTCCAGATCTGCTATTGGGTAAATCAAATGAAGGTTAGCTGAAATAAAGGAGATACCCCAAACAAATGCAGAAAGTAGTTTATGTCTGAATAAAATAGCACCTCTTAGCAGTTTAGCTTTAAATGCTTTCTCAAGTTTACTGCCCAACAGCTCTACCTAAACATATTGTATGTTGCCAACACTGTCCAGTTTGGATGTCTAAAAAGACGCGTAACACTCCTGGCCTAGCTGTTTATTTCACTGCTGATTTTTTTCTCTTTCCTTATTTTTAAGTCTTAGTTTGAGTGTTGCTGATGAAGCAGTACAAGGGGAATTTCCTGCTGTAATCATGAACTGCAATCATGAAAAGGAAGAAAAAAAGAGGGAGTATAAGGGAGAGGAAAAATAGAAAGTCAACAGAAACACCCTTATTTCACAGTTATCTATTAAAAGAAATCGGTCAAATCATACAACAGTAAGTCTAGTGATTACCCTGCCAGCTGGATGCATTTGTATTTTGCTGCTTTTTCTTAAGCTGAGATGACTTGCCACAGGTGAGGGTGTAGGCATCTTGTGTTCCTAACAGACAGACCATACAGACAGACAGTAAAGACACAGGCACTGTGCACAGACTGAAGACTCCTGTAGTATAAAAGACATTTTTAATTTGTTGATCATCATCATCACCTTTGTCAACAATGTTGTTCATAAAATACTCCATCTAGGAGCCTGTGTCTTCCTCAGCAATTGAAAGGTTTCAGGAAGAAAATCAGCATCTGTCCCATAAGCACTGGCAGAGTCTGCATGCTGGGTCCTGTGGGGCGGAGGGGCTGTGCGGGCAAAATCTCAGACCCCACGCAGGGATGGAATGCCTTCACCCTATTCAGCAGCAGCTCTCAGGGCCAATTAAGGAATGGCCCAGGGAGCACGGAGAATTCTGCCCTGTCCTCCCCAGCTTGAAAAAGACAGTTGTCATGAGAAGGGAATCTGAGGGTAGAGCGGTTATAAAAGACAAGGAAAGGGGGGCTTTCCTGGGACACTGGCAGGGATATAGCCCTTTATTATCTATAGTGAAAGAGGAAAGGTCCCTGTTGATTGTCTACTACTTGGGGCTTCCACGAGAGTTAGGAGGTTTGCTACTCTTACACCCTCTACAGAATTGTATGCTTGTTTTTATTGTTTGTGACTTACCAGAAAATACCTGGACATCCGAAGAGCAGCTTAAGAAGCATCTATCACTCCCACCGCTCTTAATGCAGTGCAGCAATACCTTGGGTGACACACTACCAGGCAAGGGACCCTTTGTCTCTAAATAGGATTAAACAAATACTCACAGAAGTAAAATATCTACATACACCCTACTAATGAATTGGCATGCAGCTGCTTTTGTAGCTGGTACCTGAGAGCACTCATGCAGTTAATATGCTGTTTAGACAGAAAATCAAAGCAAAATAAAATCACTGGAAGATCACACCACATACATAATTTCCTTTTAAGCAAAGCTATCATCAGTAAACCTTCTCATGCAGAGAAACAAAAGGAAATAAAAGAATGAGCTAGATAAAAGCACAGGAAAGAAAGCATCAAAATCCCTCAAAGTATCTCCTGTTTTTCTGGGGGGATTGCTTATTTTTACCAGTTTCAACATCAGTACCATCATGCCTCACTAAAAAGTGAAGTGGAATACCAGGAACAATGACTCATACCGCTTAACTGGACAGATCAAGATTTTCAGATTTGACTATAACCACATGGCCATCAGACACATCAGGAGCAGAAATGTATTTACTAGGTACCTTACCAACACAATCCTTTTTATTCCAGTGTAATTTGTAGTTAGAGTGACACAGGCATTCATAGTCTCCCAGCGTGTTCACACACAGCTGTTGACAACCACCATTGTTGACACTACACTCATTAATATCTACAGAGGAAAAGTAAAAATACATTTAAAAAGTCACTATTGCCAAAGTTCCATACTCTAACTCCACTAGGTAAACATGTATGCAAATACTACTTAGTAGGGTTTGGAAAAGACTTCAGGAATGCTATCTGGACCACCCACCTTGAAATAATTTTGTTTTCGTGGAAATCCATTGATAAATATCAAAATGGATCAAATGTTGTCAGAGAGGAGATGTTAGGTATGTCCTTAAACCACATAATTAAAAGAATATCCAGCCTCAGCAATATGGTAGCAAATTAACTCAAAGAAAATGAGACTAAATTGAGTCTGCATTACACTGTGTTTGGATAATTAATATTTCTAATTTGGAATAAAGACAGATAACATGGACAGGATTCATAATGATCAATCCTCCAAAGTTCTCAGATAGATACAGCTGCTGTGGAACACTATTTGACTCCATGTGGGCAAATAACACCACTGTATCACCATCGTCCCTTTTGGCAAATTATCCAATTTTTGGGCCATGCCCTGCCCAATAAATGGCAACAGAAGGAGAAACCACTGACAACACAACATACTGCCTTTGGTGCAAACTTGCATGCTGATGCAGAATATACCATTCACCAGTGTATCCCAGAGGTCAAGACTGGGGCCAATACTATTTATCCTCTTCATTAAACCTGGGTGATGGGACAAGAGTTCACCCTCAGCAAGTTTGCAGATGATACAAAACTGGGAGGAGTGGCTGATACACCAGATGGTTGTGCCACTATTCAAAGGAACCTTTACTGGCTGGAGAAATGGGCCGACAGGAATCTCATGAATTTCAACAAAGAGAAATGCAAAGTTTTATGTCTCTGCTTCTCAGATCCACCCTGATGACTGCTTCATTTGTCTCCAGTAGCTTTACGGCAATTATACATACACCTACAAAGCTGCCATCAAGAAATCTCTTGCAAGTCCCAGAAAGTTTGTGCAACTGAAGGTACTCACTTGTACGTACACTTTTCTCAATGGAAATATCAAGTTCTTGTCCCTGCTTTCCCCGACCATTTGTTCCCCCCTCTAGACAGGTAACAATTTGGTACAAAACAGTGTGAAACAGATTATAAAACTGGGCTGATTTTAGGGGAAAAACATACTACTAAGAGAACTGAGTCAGCAAGGGTAGGAATGAGCAGCAGAGGAATAATGGGGAAAGAAGGGAACACCTTAAATTGGTACTACTGCCTGAGATACCACAAAATCGTCCCAAATCTTTTGTTAGGATGCTGCATGCAATGGCAACCTATTATCGCCAGCACTTACTGACTTCTTCCACATAAGTCAGAAGGTGTATACTCAGTATCCCTACCAGCTTTGACACAGCCTGTGATTGCCAGTAAATGAAGGACTTATTACGGTACAAGGATTAACATCTTCTGCAGAGGAGTACGATATGAAGAGGCCAATTAGCAGCCAACAGAAAAACTAAAGTTCCTTTTCCTCATTGGTGGCCAAAATAAATTAAATTAATACAGAGGATTTAATGAGAACAGACTTCTTTTAGCAAGTAGGACACATGAATAGCGTTACTCCTCATCCAAACAGGTTTCCCTGTTCATCAGGATAAAACGCAGTGATGTTGTAGCCCTGTAATCTTCTTTGTAGACTTTCTAGAGGCAGAGATTAGAACAGATCAGGCACACAGAGATCTCTGAATTGTTATCTCCAAGTTCAAGTGTGCTCATTCTGCCTCAGAAATAAATAGGTCTTACTCAAAATTTAGTAAGGAAATGGAGTCAGTAAGGTCTTGCCTATAGCTTATATAAAACAGGTTTAATTCCATTTAGTGTCCAGTTATTCATGCTTCCTGATGTTAATTCTGGGAATTTGTCACAGAAATATTCACACTTGACACACACTGAGGTTCTGTGAACAACTTTCTCACTTTCCTTGAATTTTTCTTGTAGGAAAAACATAAAAGAGTATTAATCTTGGCCAATGTAAATCAGTAGTAATACATTAGCTAAATTGCAATCTATATCACATGAGGATCTGACACATGCACAAGGGCAACCAGCAAAACCTTAATTTCCTAGGTCATACAGAGCTTCCTGTTCTTTTAAGTCCCATTTCACTGACTTTTCACTGAAGTCAATGAGACTTCTGCATGTTAAAGTTCTATCACATTATAGCTTTCATATCCAGGTGCAAAACATATCAGTTTGTTCTAACAGTCACAAGTGCTTTCTGGATGCAGGGTGGGAAGGGAAAATCACTTGAACAAAGACAGAAATGAGCAGGATTAGTTTCAGCTTTTGCTGTCTCTCCTTATCACGGCCAAGAGTAAAATTTACTCTGTAAGCTTACTGCATATACATAGGCTTGTGTCTTGCACAGACACTAATCAGACCTGTGGCAACAGCACTCTATCATCATGGCCTGTAGCGTCCTTTTATAACTCACCTCCACAATGTGTGAAGCCATAGAGAGCATATCCTTTGTTGCAAGTACACTCAAAGGTGCCTGGATGATTGATGCATGTGTGGTCGCATGTCCGTTCAAATGAGCATTCATCAACGTCTGCAAGTTTTAAAGGGATACATCAATATCTTTCAGCCTGACAAGGGCTGAGCTAACAAGGTTGGAAACAGAGATGTGCAGATTTATGTAAACTAAGCAAATTCTTTTAAAGCAAATAACGTAACATAATGAAATGACAACTTTTAAAAGAACAATTAGTTTGCCAAACAAGCTCTTCCTTGGCAAACACAAAAACTGCTGCAACATTTTAACAATTATGTTTGAAATAAATTATTTCTCTTCTATAGGAGAAAAAAAAATATGCTGACAGAACTCCTATTTCATTAAGAAAACTCTACATAAGTTCTGCAGAGAGAGATTTACAAAATAACATATTGCCTTTGTTTTTTTTCCCGTAAATGAAAGCAAAGGCCACATTTTTAACTCTATATGAATACGCAGTGCCTGATTTAAGTCTGCCGAAAATCACCATGTTCTCTGAGATACACCAGAAGACAGATGACTGAAATAATTTGATTAATTTTTCCACAGATCCATTATACTGTATATTTAGACTTCAATGTCTGTCTCTAAAAGCTGCTGAGATACCTGTTTTTTCCAATGTAACTTTTCCTTGACATTACAATCACTTTGCACACATCTTCTTTGTAAAGCAGTTAGTATAATAGCCTAATCATGATCTCAGTGAGTTGAATGGTAAAAAGGTAAGATTCCCATCACTTTCTGAGGTCTTGAATATTTATTATACCATCAAAAGCACCTGCAACTTCTGTGCAAATACATTATGCATGCCATGTAAGAATGTTGCAAGATACAAAAAGTTCACATCAGCATCACTGACGTATTACATCATTCTTTTTTCTTGGGCTTTGGCATGCTTCAAGATACCACTTCTGAAACAGTCTAGGGAGAGCAACAGAAGTGACAGGGACAAAAAAAAAGGGAGGTGCAAGTCTTTAAAATACGTTCATAAACAGATTCCATTAAGAAAAATCACAAGCTATCTTGAAAATCTTATGGTTTTACAGTAAGTTTGTACCATATAAATAGTTGTCCTTCTCTGTCTGGTTTAAAAAGGATAAGAATGCACCAAAAAACGGGTGAAAATTATTTTCTGTTGGCCTGTTCAGCTTTCTGAAATTCATCATTAATGTCTGATGGCTGTTGAGGAAATTGAATCATTCACCTTCCTATTTGGCTGATAGGCCTTACATTGTTTCATTGTAGCTTTTCGAAAACCACAGACCATTTTGATATTTGCATTTTAATGTATTTAAGCAGCTTAAATAGGATTGCTAACTCTATATGTACAAACCACTAAACAGAAAAGCAAATATGCTTTGTTAGTCACACAGGAGAAATCCATGTCCTCTTAAAAATCGAATGCTCTGTGATGTTTTAGGGAATAGTGATTCCAGCCTGTCTACAGGACTACAATGTCATAGATCACGTTATATATTCTTTTCTTTAAATAATGAACTCATGGCATCTAAACATCCCATTAAGAAAAAATAATTTCACTGCAATGGTGAACTAGTCACTAAGACAGAAAGAGATATTGTCTGTTTTTCCTGTAAATTATTTTAAGATCATTAATAGAACAGGGGGGAAGAATTATCCTCATAAACCTTTTTAATAACATGCTATCTCTGTCGCTTCCAGATAATAGTTCACTGTGTCATTAAACATACCTCCTACAATAGTATCAAGCCAACTGTATTAACTCAACAGCTGTTTCAGAAAGGAAAAAAAAAAAACAAAACAAACAAAAAACACCAACACAAAACTGAAGCATGGAAATTATTCTGGAGTCCATTATCACTTCATCATTGTAGTAGATGTCCAAGCCACGCTGATTTGTTCTACTGCCTCTCCAGTGCACATACCTTGACAAGACTTCTCATCTGTTAATAATTTAAACCCTTTTCTGCAGCTGCAATCAAAACTGCCAACACTGTTTTTACAGAAATGATCACAGCCTCCATTGTTGGACTGGCATTCATCAATATCTGTAACAAAAGAAGTGCTTCAGCAAATAAACACAGTACATTCAACATACTTTCACTGCCAGAACCAGAAAACAGTCACGTCCAATTGGTCAGAGAAGCCCAGAAAAATCTAGCAAGACTACTACAAGTTTTAAGGAAGATCAGATCCAGCTCTTAAGAATGATCTGGCCCATTCAGCTCCATGACAGTATTATTTGCTTTCATTTAACATATTTAACAGTTACTTCTGTGTACGTGTATTCACAGAAGACCATTTCCCTAAGTTCTGTTTGGAAACACTTTGACTTAAATGTTCTCTAACAGGTTTTAGCTTTTTAAACATTCTCTCAGTTTCCTCTTCCTAAGCCCTGCAGAAATCTCAGACAAAAAAGACTTCCTGAGCTACCCTGTCCTTTTCGTGCCAATATTAGAACAAGCTCTTTCTTTAATACTAATTGACTCAGGCATGGGGATTCCATCATTTTTGCCCAGCAGAACAATCTTAACATCTAATTACTGTAAAACGTATTCTAATATAAAACCTAAATGTCCCTTTGCTCCTTTGCAGTAATCTTGTTAGAGCTGCTTGGACCAGTATAAGTAATTCTACTCACATATCCCTGTTTGCACATTGATATTTACTTACAAACTGCTTTAATACCCAGCTGACTGTGGGTAAAATAGCAGACTATTGGACTGTATGCCTGTAAGAACCTACACCCCTACCCCTCCCACAGACTACTTTTCCACAGACCTGTATCACATCCTACCAAACATGCGCGGTGGAAAACTGAAGTCATCTTGGCAGGAGGGGTGAAAGTGGTGAGAGGGAGGGCAGAGCAGCAGAGATTCTCTGCACATGATGTATCTGATGAGATGAAAACCATGCACCTACCCCGGCTGCGGTCCTTTCTTAGGTCAGATCACACATACTGGCTTTCCTCTGGACACTGGATTACCTTCATTTGCAGGGGAAAACCTTACAGCAAGGTGTTGGTACACACGTATCCATGAGTATAAAACTCACCTTTACATGTCTTCCCATCAAACTGGAGCGTGAATCCAACAGGACAGCTGCAGTGAACTCCAGTTGATGTATCTTTACAGGTACGATCACAGCCACCATTATTTACTGCACATGTTTCTAGCCAACAAGATAAAGCTGAAGTTTGCTCAGGGTAACAAGTGGTAACAAGAAACATCATGTGATACAAGGCACAGTTCCCAGCACACTGCTATTCAACCACATCTAGTCTAGTATACATGAGTAACTACTAAATACATGTGTGGGCAAAATCCCTGCCACAGCTATGTCCACTTTTTTGAGGAGTATCTACAAACCAAGATATTGTCTCTGGATATGCTCATCCTTAAACACAAATCCCTGCTCCTAGATGATGAATCTGTTCCTGTCAGTCTGTCTCCTTAAGCCTGTACTCAACCCTGGCTGATCCTCTGACACTTCCCATCAGTGCTCAGACACCTGGTTACACTCAGCACTACTAAACCAGTTTTCTTAAATCCCTCCCAACACACCTTCACAAGCTACCTGTGCTCCCAATCATGGTGGATTACACCCACATTGAGCTTTCCTTCAGGCCTGTAATTCAGGTGCCATCTCAACCTAACTTTCCTCTAACTTCCCCCTATGCAAACTACGTCCAAATCTCAACAAACCTTTCTAGCAAACACCCCTAAAAACCAGTTCTTCACATCCAACTAAACAGAATTAACTCACTCTTTGTCATTCATCCTCTTGCAGTCGGCATAGCCACCTCAGTCAAACAACCTTTTCACTGACTGGACAAATGCAATTTTATGCAGCACATATTGATTCAGAGAGCTGCAAAGATCGTTTTCTATGTCTGCTTTTTGAAAATCTCTCTTTCTAGCTCTGTCTCCGAGTTCCCTGCAGCATCAAGCATATGGTACTTATTCTCAGGTTTTGAGACCTTTACTGGTTTACTCCCTCCCAGCTTCTCATCCCACATTCAATACTGGGAGGCTGCGTCCAACCTCCATGTGAAGACAGAGTGCCTCTTCTTTCTTCCTCTTTCTACAGCAATGTAATTTTTTTGAAAATGAGGCTATTAATTTAGATGTCTGAATATGGATTCAGGAACTCAGAGCTAGCCCTATACTTCTGGTAGTTTCTTCCTCAGCTTCCATGCCCCATGCCTTTTCTGTGGCAAATGCCAATAAGCACATTCAATCACCCCGATATCCCGGAGTAAGGGCTCCTGAGAGGTGGGCATCCACTGACCCAGCTGTCCTGAGACCACTGTGATTGTTTCTCATGCCAGTACCTTCCCAGTAGTGACAGACCCTCAGAGGCTGGCACTCTGGGCCAGCTGCAAACACCTCTAGGAAGAATAAGATGGTCTTGTATCCTAACATGTCCTTCTAGGTGCAATCCACACTGGGCCCAATCCTCTTCCATGCAGAAGTATACCTTCTGTTGAAGAGAAGTAGGTAAAAGACTGCTTCCTTCACAATCACTTGGCTAAAACTGTAGCACAGATGGGATTGTACTGCACTCCCATGATGAATTGGAACCATGGAAACATACACTACTTCAAGGGCAAGTTCCTGACACTTTCTACTGACTGTCACAATGTACAGTTTCTTATCCATTATAGAATAATATTATTTCCTTAAAAGGATGTAGAGCATCTCAGGCAGAATTCAGTTCAGAGCTATGATGGTTGCAATAAAAAAAAAGCAATTCTTCAATCTGAAAGGTTTCAGCAAACAACAAAATTATTTTGGATAAGCACTTTTACCCATAAGCAACCGTCGCTTCACCCTCTTGTCCACATCAGCTCCTGCTGTAGTGTTTCCCTCAGAAATTTCAATAGCAGCCTCTTCCGTCTCTGTAAGGAAGATGAAAAAATCAAATGAGTAAAGGTGCCCTGACCAGAAGTCTCATCTGATATCCAATACATATACACATGCAAACAGCTGCATCACACACTGAATTATCAGAGACAGTTGGAACTGACTAGGCAGAAATACTTTTTTTTTTTCTTTAATAAAGTAGTAATTAAAATCATGAAGACCGTTAAGTCAAAACCATGAGAATTCTTTGCTTTTGCTGCCTACTTAAAACTCACGTTTGCTTCAGTATTCTTAATAAAACAGAAGATGTGCTACAGATGTAGTGAACAGCAACAAGATGAAAGACCTAACTGAACTGTCATGAACTGTTTTGTTAAGAGCACACTGTCATCATCTATCATAGACTAATACAAGGACCAGTCAGTTATGCCTGAGCATTTGATTTCAATCAACAGACAACAAACTCTTCCAGAGACTGGAAGAGTTTATAAATCTTAAGTGCTTTCTTTACTGAATAACTGCCTTGCAAAAATTGTACTTTAATTGAATTCAGAGTTATGGTTTTAACACACATACTGCTTGGTTACACTCTCTGGCTCATGCTATACAAGAAACTGAACCTAAAACATCCTAGAGGGAAGGGAATCCTCTTTGGTTAGTGACAGGCCTTGTGCTTCAGAGGGACCAGTGATAGTTACAGACTGCAGTAGTACTAGGTAGCTACTCATATAGGGAGGCATAAGTTGCCTGGACCCAACCAACTCACTCATGGACTAGCGGGTTTCTTAGTTTTAGATTCCTTGACATTTTCTAGCCATACTATTATGAGGAGCATTAATCATGCACACACGGCAATGCCACACCACTCTAGAGCTAGTCATCAACAGAAAACTACTTCCTTCCACTGTATACTGACCCAGGCAGGTTTTCCCATCCGCATGCATGATGTACTTGGGGTGACATCCACAAATAGGACCATTATCAGCATCATCACATGTATGTTGACAGCCACCATTTCCATGATTACATGTTACTGGGAAGAAAATATATGTTACACCTCACAAGTACTTCCAGCATCTTTGAAAGATGGTGTGCAATTTTGTTTCCATTTGACCATCCAGTCCACTTTCCTAACATGCTCCTTTCCTGGAAACGTCTGAGACTGAAACACTGCAGAGCTCTCTTGTGGAGCTGAACTTCCCATCATTGTGAATGATGGCACAACTCCCAAACTACAGATGCTGGTGTGAGTGTCCAGCAAAGCCACTGTTTCTAGTTTAATTCAAAACGCACACAATTTAGGCATGTCATCCCAGTTTAGCTATAACATACCAAATCCCATATCACTGCAAACAGAAACTATTTGTTCACTTTGGGAAACCATAAGCATATGCAGAATGTTGCATACAAATGCAGCTCCTCTGGTTCTTGGACAGTTCAAATCCTGGTCGGCATTCACAGGCAACTCCTCCTTTGGGTGTTTCTCTGCAGATGTGGGCACAGCCATGATCTTTATTCATGCAGCTCATGCCTTCTGCAAAACAGGACAAGTGCAAGAGCATCAGCATCCTCAGCATCTCCGTGTGCAGGCAACAGCCAAATAAAGTCAGGTCAATACGCACACAGACAACAGACTGCTACTTCTGGGAAGACTCTACAGTGTTAGAACAAGTAGTATAAGCTTACAGACGGGAAAGGCAAAGTGTCCTATCCTGCAAAGTCAATGGCCCCATGGTTTCTCCATCTGATCTCTTCTGTGGCCACATTCTTTGACTACAAGGTCAAAAAGCAAAATCCCTAGATTTGTACAGCATCTGCATTCCCATCCAGTGCTCTCCCTTTATACCAGTGTTTATAAAACCACTTAATTTCTTTTATAAGAATTGCAAGATGGCTGATACATGGCAGGATCAAAGCCTAAAGTGAGGTTCTTATTTCTCTACTTAAATGAGCAGCCACCAAACACAGTAATGCCTGGGCTGACAGTCACAGAAGTCATCCCTATTTCAACTGCTGGCCTACAGAGCAGATTTCCAAAGTCATAACCTACCTCAGCAGTGACCAAGTGGTGACCAGGCAGACATGCAGATTGTACAAATGCTGAATGTCAATTCTTTTTTTTTTTTTTAAATTATTTTGTTTTGGGTTGCTTTTTTTTTTTTTTTTTTCTGTTTTCAATAAATACCTCCCAACATAACCCCACTGGGTTATTACTGGTCACAGTGTTCTGTACTTCTACGCATCTTCCCAGTCCCAGCGCCTGTTTTAACCAAATGAAAAAGCAACATGACACTAGTGACTTTCTTCCTTTTGGTGCACTTCCTAAAAACATCTTGTCATTTTTGCCTCTGACAGTTACAAGCTGTTCATGCACCAGCACTCACTGACTGCCAGAATGTCTTGTCTGGTCTTTGCAAAAAGTTGAAAGTCTATTAAACAGGGAGGAACGTTTCCTAGAACTATTGTAAAAACCTCTTTTACCTTGCCCCATACACACACAACTTAAAACTACATAGCTGCTGGCTGAGTTATCAAATGGGATCATTCAACCAAATTAAAAGAAGAGTTTTTCTTCTAACACTATACCACAGATTTTGCTGAAGTCTTCTACAGTGCTACAAAATTGGGAGAGCAGACAACTGAATGCTCTCCTCAGGTATATGGAGAACACACCTTTGCCATCAAATTCTCTGCCTTGGTGCATTTGGCTTTTATAAGACACATTACACCAAACCGCTCTTTTTTCTCAGTAAGAACACTTCATTTGAGAAGAATAAGTAGAGCATACTTTGGCTGCGAGGGCTTATCCCACATTACCTCAGTGAACTTCTACTGAGCTGAGCAGATGTACAATTGGAGAGAGAATGAAAAGAGTGACCATACTGCTAAAAAGGGATTGTGTGAACATTTCCACACCCTATATATTTTTTAAAGTTACGCAACCCTTTGTGCAGCCTTATTACTAAATGAAACAAAAGCACGGTATTGGCAAGCAGAGCTCAGCTCGTCACCATTATTCCGCTACACTTCAATTAGGTCCTTGCTCTGCACACAACTACTCTCGCCAACTGCAGCAAAAGCTACAGTACCCTTTCTCTATTAAGACAGCTTTAAGCAACAAAAGAATGGATATTGCAGAGCCTAGATTATTCTGCTCTACTGGCTTTTTGATGCCTTTCCCACAGTGAGGACTCTGTAGAAGTCTAACAAAACAATGACACTTCAAATCCTGCAGCACACAGACACAGCTCAAGGAGCCCACATGAAAGCTGCCATCCCTTATTGTGCTGTCAGTCAAGGAAGGAGACAACCTATGAGGCCACAAATTAGCCTCATTAACTGTTGTGGTTTTGTGACATTTCTGTTCTTAAGTATGCACTATGACTTGGTCTGTTCGCTCAGAGGCCTTAGAAAGCATTAAGAGAATTAGCAACTTAGTTTCTGTTAACAAAGTTATTCTTTTGTCTCTATTGAGCTACCAAAGGGAAAACTGTTCAAGCAAGTACTTTGGTAAAGTTCACTGACATCAGACAAATGGTTTAAATGCTCAATTTGGGATTGCTCCATCCTGAGTGAGCAGAATTCAATCAGGTCTCCACAGAAAGCTACAACCGCACTTCCCAAACCAGGGCACATTTTAATCACAAAGTACCCGTTGTGTGACAAGGTACATGACCAAACCCACCAAAATCTAGCTGACCCGAAAGACAGCATTTCATAGAAGATACAGACATCCACACATTTTAGCATTTACCATGAAGCTGCTGCTTGTTTCCAAAGGTAGTATAAGATTTCTACTCAGCCCCATTTTATAAGGTTGCATTAAAGAAATGTATGTAAAACCATAAATGCTCTGTGGCTGCACACTGCTTCATGGACACAAAGACTCCCAGGTCACATTGTTCCAGAGCTGTTGCAATGGCAAACTGTGGTCCAGAACCAAACTCCAAACAAATTTTGGTCAAATCCCACCACATGCTTCCCAGACACACAATTTCTCTTGCAGAAGACCCTGACCTACTGACACACAAGTGTCATGGGATGGATGAGTCTCTCGATTGCCAAGCTCACATCCAAGAGCTGAATCCAGTGCCTGCCTGACCTAGCAAACCCCAAGCCAGACAAGTCCTTTCTGATGACTGGACCTTCACAAGGCTACTCAGCAAACATCAGTGAGAGCTGATCACTCCTGCCACTGGCAAGACACGGGCAAAAAGCCAGCACGGTATTTCCCTATCAGGCCATGTTAAATTAATCTCTTACATGTATGATCTGTGTTTAAATATCTCTTCTTTACGCAGAAGGTGTAGGGACATCACCACTAATCTGTTAAGAATGTTAAGGCTCCATTTAAGACACATTCAAACAGGCGCTCGGGATGACAGAGGGAGAGGATGCAATTGTACAAAGAACTACCAAAGATTCTGAGAGGCACCCTCTAATAGCCAAATGGCGAGAAGCATCAGCACAGACAGCAGAACAGGACATCCCAGGAATGCTTTAGTCTTTTTTCAATGCTTTCTACACCCTTGTGTTAAGGCAACCTTTTCCAAAAAGCGTTCTAGTTATCACTGTTCTCCACAGTCAGAAGGGGTCTAAGAGCAACAGCTGAGATGGTCCCCTGCGTACAAGCTTTCAGTCCACACAGTGATATCAAATGTGGCTTTCATCTTGCAGGTCCAATTTGCTCCCGTTGATTCAGCCCAACAAGTAGATAGCTATGACTGTGAAATACCACAAGGGAGAGTAGCAAGATTTGTCATCTATAGCAATAGCAACCACAAGATATACATAGTTACTAATGAAAAACTGCTTTCCTTCAAATTTTTGTCTTCTCTAATACGGAGCAAGTTAAACATAGAAACAAGCTACATGTGCAGGGCTGTCCTGTCAGCTACTGTAATAGCCTCCCAAAGTAAATGCATTCTCCCACATATAGATGAAGAAGAATTTATTCAGAGTAGCCAGCCACGGAAAAAAATAGGATTGTGCACAACTTCTCAAGGCACTCAGAGTTCCTGTGGTTTAAGCAGGCATGAGGCAGAACCAGCAAGCCCCTCAGAGCACTACTGTGCTTCAGACCAACCCAGTTATATCAGATGAAAAATCAACCTTAATTATCAAACTCTCCTCTAATAGCTGCTTGACCTGGAGTCCCATGTCACAGTCAATGGCAGGGAACCCAGAAGATAATTGCAGATAGATTGGAAGGGTAGGTGACTCTTAGGCTCCCCTGTTACACCGGTCATCAGGAGCAATACAACAGCCCCAAGACTCTCTGTTTCTCCTATCTCAACTCCCATTCCCTCTTTTTCTGTGTACATAAAGGCCAGTACTGCAGACCACTAGGAAGGCCTCTCAAGCACTGATGTGTGCACTCCCTTAACTGGGCTGGAACCCAGGGAAGGAAATAGTCCCTTGTATTACAGATAAGAAGCAAAACCGAATAGATGGTCTAGGCAGAGGGTACCAAACGCTGTTTCAATCAATGCTGTGAGGTCTCAAAACAGAACTAATAAAGTATATACACTCAGAACTGCATACACAAGGCAGAGAACAGAAGACCTAGTGATGAGCAGAAAAGCAGAGAACAAAGTGAGCAGAAAGATAAAGCAATGAGATTTGGCTTACAACAGATCTGCCCACCCAAGGCAAAAAAAAAAAAAAAAAGGTGGGGAATCCCGTGGAGCACCTTCACAGTAGTGAGTGGGAGGCAGGAGGGAAACAGTCACAGCATGATAACCTGAAAAAATGGCTTTTAAAAGAAACAAAACAAACACTTCTGTATTTTAGTACAAAGAAAAAAAAAAAAGCACTTTGGACAAAAACAGTATAAGGTTTTTTTCTTAAGACTAACTTTCATAAAAATGTATTTTATTTAGTAGTTTTTAGGAAAAAATGCATTTTTTTTTCCTCTTGTTTTTCAAAGAATAAAAAAGACTAAATTAAGTGGAAATTTGGTACTACAGAAAAAAAGCCTTTTTTTGCCAAAAAGATAAAAAAAATAACTGCATCTTTAGAAATAAGAGAACAGAAGTAGAATTCCAAAGGTACGATTTAGGGAACAAACATTTATAACAGCAAATGTTGCTGCTGTTAGTTCAGGAGAATAGAAGGTACTCAAACTGCAGCAAGTAAGAATAAAGAGTCTGAAGTCCAATGCCAAGGGAGGAGAAACAAGACAAGGAATTCAAGCAACTGATTTTCAACCTTATATTCATCATTCATGCACACACACAAACACACATATCACTGCTAGCAAGGCAACGTGAAGGGAAATGCCTTGCCCCGCCACTGCAGCCTTCCTGCTTGTCCCCCGTCCTGGCTCAGCTCCTGCGGTGGCAAGCTGAGCAATGCCCTGAGAAACCACCAGGCACCAGCACACCCCGTGAGACCAGGCCCAGTACCAGAGAATCAGAGAGTACAAATTCTTAATTCAAACAAAAGATCAATTCAGCTCTGTCAAATGACAGCCACCTCAGTGCACTCATCTGTGTATGGCCATATATGTCTATAAATGTTGATTTCTTCACTGTGGGGATTTTTAAAGTGAGGTTTGTTTATTCATGCTCAGATTCCTCTTATAGTCATGCCAATGATAAGCCACAGATTAAAGAAGGTTTTGCAGCTTCAAATACTTCTTAGTAAGATATTCCATGTACAGTTCAATGGACAACTCCCTGATCTGAGCAACCACTTTAAAGTATTCCCTAAGGGCATCCAAAATAATTTTGTTCAATTCGATGTCTAACTAGATATCCAAAGCTCTCTGATCTCTCAAGGGTCGCTTCATAAAGGTTTCACTCAAAACAAAGAACGTGATTTGAATACCTTTGGGGCTGACAAACAATAAATCTCTTAGCTGAAACCTAAACACTGCAGATGGAATCTAAAAAGTACCCGAAGGTAATGCAGGTATTGCCCTGTTATTAAAGCCAATGGAAATGGTCAGAACTCACTGTCCTTCAATTTGTTGCTATACCCTGGATCAGGACACAGCTTAGTTGCACAACAGAGCGTAAAGTACACTGGAAGTACAGCAGTACAGCCTTTACAAGCACAACACTGCAGTCATATAGGTGGGATCAAAGGGGCAGAAGGGATGTAAAGAGTCTTCAAAGTCACTTAGAAGATTCTGACACACTGTTCCTTTTAAAAGGAGCAAGGACTTCAAGACCCTTCACAGCTTTGAAAAATTCAACCGCAAAATACTTTTGAAGCTGCTTTAGAGATTTTGCAGTTAGCTTCTGTCACAAACTCCTGCTCGGTGCCTGGAGGGAAGCAGCCAGTACCTTCTGAGCGGTGGATGCACGTATGCTGGTTATCACTTAGAAAGAACCCTTCCTTACAGCGACATTCGTAGCTCCCCACAGTGTTGACACAAACATGCTGGCAACCACCGTTGTTGAACATGCATTCATCTGTATCTGAAAGAGACAGAGAGAGAGAGAGAGAGAGAGATCAGCTTTGTACTAACACCAATACACTCATCTCAGCAGCAGCCGCTCAATAAGAGGTATGGACTGAACCTACTCTGCATGTAACCACCCAGGCAGCTTAGACACCTCAGGCTAGCCTGTTCCTGTTGTGCTGTCACCCTTGGGAAAGTGTATTTTTGCTGCTGCTCTTCCCCTGTGAACAGTTTGCCCAATCAATCACAGGCCTCCCAAGAAATGTGGGCTGACTAAGCAGAGTTACTGGCTACAGCTAAGGCAGAGTAGCCTTGGTGGAGCCAGAAGCAGGGCTCCACACTACACCTACGTGAACATACTCTGCCTCTCAGTGCAGCTCCATAGTAGTACTGTTCAGCAGCCTAGCACATTTACATCTAGGCTGAGCATCCATAGATGGTTCTGTCTTGCTCAATGGGACACAACTTTGGTTCCAAACCCGTCCAAGCTATAAAAGGTGTTTTTCCAGAAAGCTGCTGTCATGGTTTGAGTCCAGAAGGCAACTGAGCACCACGCAGCCGCTCATTCACCCTTTCTTCCCCAGTGATAGGAAGGAGGAAATGAAGCAAAAGGCTCAGGAATCAAGATAAGGACATGGAAGAACTCACCCATTACAGTCAAAAGACAGACTTGTTAGAGGAAGAAAAAGAACATCGATTTAATTAAAACACTAACAAACCCAACATTTAACAGACAGAGTAAGACAGTGAGCAGCATTACCTCATCTTAAAAACACCTTCCCCTCACCCCTCCCCTTCATCCCAGGCTCAGCTCTGTTCCTGATTTCTCTACCTCCTCCCCCACAGCGAGGCAGGGAATGGGGTTACTGTCAGTCCCACCGATCCTTTGTCCTCAGGGGGAGGATTCACCACATTCCTCCCCTGCTCCACGTGGTTCCCCTCTAACTGGAGACAGTCCTCCACGAATCTTCTCTGACATGAGTACCTCCCACAGGCCACAGCTCTTCCCATGCCATCCCAGCATGGGTCACCTCCACAGGCTGCAATCCTCCCAGCACTGAACTACAACAGCAGGGGCTTCTTCTTCCCACAGAGTCCCGGCCTTCTTTGGGTGCAGTCGCCCGCTCTGGTGTGGGCTCCTCCATGGGCTGCAGGTCAGCCTCTGCTCCACCAGTGGCCTCCATGGGTGGTGGGGAGGTCAGCCCTGCCATCTCACCATGGGCTGCAGGGCAAGAGGGTCTCTGCTCTGCTCCAACGCACCTCCCTGCTCCTTCCTTCCACTGACCTTGGTGTTCGCACAGATGTCCTCCTCACAACTCCCACTCCTCCTCTCAGGTTCTCCTTCTTAAATATGTTACCGCAGAGGTGCAGCCACCACTGATAATTGACTCAGCCTTCGCCAGAGGTCTGTCCAACTTGGAGACAGGGGAGCTCTGAGAAGCTTCTCACAGGGTCACTGCTGTAGCCCCCTCCCCTGCTACCAAAAACTCCACCACACACACACACAAACCCAGCACAGCTCCCCATTCTGAAGCAAAGGTGGAACAAGAAAAACACAAACTTCAAAATAAATTTAGCTTAAAACCTATCCCCTGCTCCTACTTTCACTCTAGCTATAATTCACACATCACATCTATTCTGTTGCTCAGTTTGATTTATTATCCTCCTCCCTCAACTCTAGGTCATCACCACTTACCATCAAGACTGCTGCTGTGCTGCCTGACTGCAGTCAAGGACAAGAGCAGAAGTTCTGGAAATAGTTTTAATGTTGATTCAAATATTCAATATTCAATATTCAGAGCTTCAACAATACCAGAGAATATAGAAAGGCTCTGCTCACTAGATAAGCAAGAAAAACATAGAATAGAAAAACTTCAGCTAAGCCTCTGAGCAACAGGATGTTCATCCCAACCTCCAGTTCTTTAGAATTTTACCCCATAATAAGTGCACGTTTTTGTAATCACTACCAGCAAAGAATTTTCCTACTCTAATTTTCAGAAATGCCAATTTCAACAGGAAGTAAAAATGCTCAGTTCTTTAAAAACAGGACAAAATGTTACTGAGACAAAGCACTGGTCTCATTTGCAAATTCATATGGAACATGATGTTTGCTCCCTGTTCTGTTTATTGTTCCTGTGCTAACAGTACAATGTTTTTAATTTAACATTGTAGCACTTCTAGCATAAAACAGCTGTTTTCTAAAACAGGAGGAAGAGAAAGGCTTTTAGTAGGAAGCATAACATAGTATTACAACAGATTTAATTTCTACTGAAGGGAATGAGTAAACCAATTGGATGCAAAAGATTGTGACCTGCTGTAGCAAAAAGAGTAGCTGACATATCTCCATCACAGAGAAGCTATTTTAGAGTTCTACAGCGATGTAAATGTGCAAACAATCATGAATAAACAGGCACTATGAGTCTTTAGTACTACAGATTTGAACTCCAGCAGATGTTTCTGTCTTACAGACCTTGGAAAGCTTTCAAAAAAATCATCTCTTTCCAACAAGTAATTGTCTATTTGGCTTAAACCCAGGCACACAGCCGAGATCTTCAAAACTAAGGGTGAGAGGAGGGCAACCTTGGCGTGAACAAAGTAAATAAACAGATTAAGAGAAGATGTGATCCAATTTGCTGCATGCCAAAATATTTATTTAACATTTACATCACATCTCAAAATTGGCAGGTCAGTGGTAAAAACTTCACTGTACATCAATGACGTCTCATTTTATTTTAAAAAGTCTGCCATGCAATACTGAGCAGCTTTGCAGTAACACAGCAGGTGGTAGATTTTGGTCTAAGTTATGTCTAGGTCTTACTGATCACAAACAAGCCAGCTGAAGTACGCTCTAGAGAGACTCTGGATACAAAGAGAACACACCCTTTGGTGGCACTGTCAGAGCCAGTGTGTGCATCCACATTCAGCCCTTCAAGGTAACCTTAACTGAACTCCACTGTGTGTTTACATAGATGCACTAGAGAAAAAGAAGGTGGCCTTTCTATTATTTTAAAGTATCAGCAAACATTTTGCTTCCCTCTATACTTTCTTTAGTGAAATACTTGGAACTTTGCGACTTCATCCTCTCCTCCACTTACGCGGTTAATGTATGGGCACGCACCAGGTTCCCAGCAGATAAAATCCAACACAGTCCCACTGCAGACTCCGGAGCTTTTCTGATTTGTCCCAGCAGAAGATACAGCCTAGGGATGGTGTGATCCCCAACCTGATATGCCATACACTAGCGGGAAATACCCTAGCCAAACTGACTACAGTCTTGAAATTATGCTTTGAGAGCAAGTTTCCCTCTGACTGACATGGGCATGGAAGCCTGCCCGGGCACATCCACACTCAGTGCAGCACAAGAGAAAAACTGAGCCGTCTCTGAAAAAGTAAATGGGTCAGGTACCACAGCGCAGGGCAGAGTCACACAGGGTACCCAGTGCAGGCCCTGGAAGCAGGACAGCTTCATCAACATGAGGCTCCATCCCAGGGAAGTAACTCCAGCAGCACCCCACACTGTCAACAGGCTGGCAACTCATGCATTTCTCTACACTACTGCACTGTGTGCTGAAGAATATTATCACAGTAAAACCACAAGGTCTTGTTACCCATTTTTAAAGATTTTCACCTGCGGTGCACAAAAAGGAGGAAACGATCAGGGTCTTAAATAAAGAAAAAGAGAGTGTGAGAGACTGTGTGTGTGCGCAGGGTCAAGGGAACGTTGCCAGGATTGAACGCGCTTCCAGAGTTGTGTATTTTGCTTCCCACTAACCACCCAAGGGAACTCCAAGCATTTGGCTTAGTCCCTCTGTGCTTCAATGGCCTCTATCATATACAGCTATTGCACACTCCTAATTGTCCTTTCCTTACAGCTTGCATGTCAGGAAATACTCAGGCACAGCAAGAGTGAGAAGCCCACATGCTATAGTTGTATATGAGAGAAGATTTCCAAGCCTGGAAACACACCGGAGAACTGATCCTAAACTAGCTTTGGAGCAGAAAAGACAGTGAAAGCACAAGTTCTTTTACATAAACCCATTTAGCCTAATAACAGATGCCACTTCACATTGTTTAACCCAAAGCACTTAACAGAAATGTAGCACAATTATCTTCTTCATTTACAAAGCAGAAAGAGCCACAATGGGAGGGTGTATCAGTACCAGGAACTCCTTAGTCCCATATATAACATTCTCTAGCTGAGCTGATTCGGCCCAACAGGTCACCAAAGCCTTTCCCATGGATGCAGTTAAAGGGTTACATTAACATCACCACTCACAGTGCTCACCAACACACTTCTTACCCAGGCAGTTGTGGCCATCATGAGCCAACATAAAGCCATCGTAGCAAGTACAGCGGTAATTTCCTGGAATGTTAAAACACTCGTGGACGCAGCCTCCATTGAAGTCGTTATCACATTCATCAATGTCTAAGGAATAAAGCAAAAGTCAATATGATGGATGCTTGCTTCAGTGCCATAGACAGTTAGAGATGTGACTGTGCAAATGTGAGCAGCAACTGCTGTCCAAAATCATCACTGTCTTGCAAAAAGACTGTAACTTAACACATCACTTGCTGAATGTTTTTATAGAGTGACAAGAATGCCCTGAGATTCCCGCGTAGCTTTATCTTGTAGTTTTTAAGTCAGCTAGTTACATAAACAAACAATTATTAGACCAAGTGATAAACCATGAAATCTGTTTGCCTTTGATTTTGCAAAGAAGTAGTAAAACAGGTGAAGAAACAATGACTATTTTGATTTAAAATCACCCTCCATATTCTAAGCCATTATTTTTAATGGCGCTGTCTTCTTAGAAATACCTCACCGTGACACAGGTAGAGCATAGTGCTTCCATCACTTTACCTTCACATTTCCTCCCTTCGCCAGTATACCCCACTTTGCACATGCACTTGTACAGCTTCGGGGTGTTTTGGCAAATAGCATCTGGGTGGCAGTCATCAAGCCCCAGGGCACATTCATCCACATCTGTGAAAAGACAAGATTCAGAAGGTGGAGAAGAGGGCGTGTTGCCTGTAGGCATCACTGATGAGATGAGGTAAGGCTGCGCGCCTGCTGGTGGTGCACACCCGCTCACCACGTGTATTTGTGAGGACAGAAACATGCAGAGACCGTATCTGAACTTAGATTTGTATAATGCTCTACCTGCACACAGATGTATTTGTATGCAATTCAGATAAGCTTGTGTTACACTTTTGTACCCACTTATGAATACATCCAAAATAATCTATTATGGGCTAGATCCTCCATGAGATTTAGCTGAGAGTTCTACAGAGACTCATTAGAGACTGTTAATCTTTCTGGTTAACAAAAAACGGTTATGGAAAAAGTTCTATGATCACACCCATGACATCACCCTCAGAAAGCCCCAGTGATTTTTAAACTAACAAGGGCAGTTTACAGAAATGTACTTTCAAAGTCACCACTAACACATTAAAAGACTGACTTACCATTAAACATTTGTATAATTTATAAATAATGCCAATTTTTTTTTAATATAAGAATAGTATCTGGTGAGCAGCATTGCCAAAACACCTGGCCAGCCATCACAAAGCACAGCATACTGAAGCAAAATATCCAGGTGGAAACTTCAGAGCAGAGGAAATGAGAAAGGGAAACACCAACAGGAAGATGTCCTAGAGACGAAGAAGTGCAGACAGAAGAAGAGGAAGAAAAGTTATGGGCAGCAGAAGACATCAGCAGAGGCTTTTCATACAGCAGAAGAGAATCCAAACACAGAAACAGGAAGATTTCCAGCAACTGGCTAAAGGGAAAAAACTGCAGAAGCAGCACCCCACCTAGGTACAAAAAGTGCCTCCTAAAATAACTGGATGAATATCAGTAGGAGGCAACTGCTTAAACAGTCAGCCACTTTTTATAGTGGGGATCACTTTCTAACAGGGAATTGCAGCCAGCACCTCCCTCACGTACAATTATAGCATTCATCTTTCCCGCCCCCCCCAGTCACAAAATATGCCTGTAGGTACTGCAGCAGTTGCCAACTTCAGAAAGTATTAATGTAGTTTTAATGCCTCATGGTGTTTGGCAGCGGGAAACAAGGCAAAGAGCCAGTGCTACAGCAGCAGTGCTCTCCCAGCTCTCAGGTGCACAGAGAACCAGTAACAGTGATGGGGTCCTTGAACAACACCTCCAGAGAGCTGGGGGAAGGTGGAAAACAGCCGGCGAGAGTGGCACAATCTGCTTCAATGCAGGAAAGTCAAGCCATTAAAAAATAGGGGAAGCAGTGATTTGAGAGAGCAAGTCGTGCCAGGAGGGCTGCAGGGAATTGCTGAGGGGCCCCCGGCTAGTGGGAATCAGGTAGATGGGGCAGGAGGACAGGATGGGCAGGGAAGGGAAGGCAGCGGGCAGAAGGAAGCATTAGCCACAGGCGCTGGATGCACAGCCCCTGCCCAGCCGGGCCGGGGGTCACAGCTGCCCCAGCAAGGAGGGTGCCGGGGAACACAGACAGGGAGAGGGCTTCTCTCACAGCTACGGCACGGAGACGGTTGCTAGATCTCATCCCGGCGGCAAAACGGCCGTTCTGCTCCTTAATTCTTACACTAATCCTCCGTGGCGTGCAGCGCGCAGGGAAGAACAGCAGCTAAAGCCCCCAGCATTAATGCATGCAGAAGCATGGAAAAGAGAGCTGGGGGGCGGAAAAAAAAAAAAAAAAAAAAAAAAAATCACTAGGCACAGGGAGTGAGATTTCCTCATGTAGTGACAGTAGCCTGAGCTGGAGAGACCCTGGAGGAGGGAGACAGTGAGCAAACATCGCAGCCTTAAACTTGGCAGTAAGGCGGGCGCGGAGGAGGCTGCAGAAGAGTTATCGGGTTTATTCCTCGGCGACCAAAGCCAGATTAAGCCGCGACAGACACCGAGTTCACTTCCCCGCTCCTTCGGCAGAGGCGAGGCGTTAACGGGCGCCGTGCCCCTCGGGGGCCAGCCCCGCTCGCAGGCGGCACCGCCTGGAAGCGGGCACGGGAGAGCCACCCCCCCGCTTCGGTAACGCTCCCCACCTCACCTCGGGCACGGCGGCCTCCCCCCGCCCGCCCGCCGGCAGCCAGGGCCGGGCGCCCCGCGGGGCCAGCCGCTGTCCGGGGCTGAAGGCGGGCGGGCGGGCGGCACTCACCGGGCGGCGGCATGGCGGCGGCGGCGGCGGCCGGCGCGGGCAGCAGCAGGAGCAGCAGCGGCAGCGCCCGCGGCCCCGCCGAGCCGCGGCGGCCGCCCGACCCCATGGCTGGCGCTGGGGCTGCGGCTGGGGCTGGGGCTGCCGCCGCCGCCGGGCGGGAGGGAGGAGGCGGGGGGAGGCGTCTGCGGGCCCGCCTCGCACTGACAGCGGGCCGAGCGCCGGGCCGCGCCTCCCGCCCCTGCCCGGGCCTCCCCCCCCCACCCCCACGCACAGCCCCCCCAGCACACATTCAGCCCCTCCATCCACCGCGCCCGCGCACCCACCCGCGGCACCGGCGCTCAGACACCTGCGCGACACCCCAAACACAGATGTCCCGGGGAGCCGGCGCTTCCCGAGGGCGCACCTAATACCTCCCACGCAGACCGCGGGTGCCAGCAGCGAGTGTGTTTGAGCCGGGGCTCCCCTTCCTGGGGCGGCCCGTGAAGCGGTCTCGGGCTAGTAGAGACAAGCCCCCGCAGGGGTCCCGCGTGCCTGCATCCTGTCACAGCCCGCGCGTACACGCACCTCGCCCCAGCCGTGCTTGCGTTTCTTCAGAAACGCGGTATTACAGTTTTCACCGAGTAATTACACCCCCCTACAGCGCGTGAAGTCCTGGTTGTAGGGCTGTACCACAACCCACCCATCACACCATCCCCTCCCTGCCAGGGATTTCTCACAGATGTCCTCCCTTTGGCAGGTAAAAGTGGTCTAACCATTATTCACTGAAACTATAATTTCCTATACGTTGTTTGACCTTTCAAGGGGGCAAGCACAAGCAGGCAGTGTTCTCTTCTACCCCTCCCTCCCATCCACATTTCGCTGCCTTTTCTCTTTTGTTTTGTTCTGTGAGAAATACCAAGCTATTTCTAGTTGCAAGGGTGGTTTATACACATTAGTAAATCTTCAGAGTGAAACTTTCCCTCAGTCTTTGTCTTTGTTCCCTTAATGGTAGCTATAAATTACCACTTTCCTTTCTCACTGGAGCATCAGGCTTCATTGCTTCTGAAATGATCAAAGTTATTCTCTTTTAAAATCCAATGAGAAACAACCTATTGTATCTCCTGGTCAGTTTCAGTCTTGGTCAACTCATCTATAAATGCATAAAGCTGCTCATTACACACTCCAAGAATTCTCTAGTCCCACACCATACCCCAAGCCTCCCCTCACCAACAGAAAGTAATAAACGAATTAAGACTTTCTCGACAATTTTCCATGATCTTATGAACAAACAATCGTACTTACAATGGGAATTCAGACATCCACGCACCTCTCCCCTGGGGATATCAGTCAAGGTGTCTCTACAAACAGTTCTCCCAAATGCAGGTGACTACAAGCTACCTTACAGAAAAGCTGTTACATATTTTAGGCACTTTCTAGTCAAGGTTCCTCAATGAACTTGACCAGTATTAATTTAAAACTCATCATTCATTTGATGAAAGACAAAATCTACATACGAAGAGTATAGCAGAAAGACACTAAAGAGCCATACACCCAAACCAGTAAAGCTCTCTCAGACACACTGAAATTGAAGCATCTTATTTACTTCTGTAAACTAAAGTGACCCACAAATACATGGGAATGCCCAAGTTAGATCGAAAGATCTCAACACAGCTTGGAAAACAAACAGGAACAATACTAAATTTATCTGAGATTTATGTATAAGAAATGGTTTCAATAACTAAAAGTGCTTTGTGAAGGATCCTATTATTTCACATATAATAATTTCTTTATGATAAAGAATTGCCATTAAAATACCTCTTTGAAGACACAAAACAGACAGAAGTTCAGACCTCAACTCCGATGTCTCTCTGTAGCCTTCTTAACTATTTCTGTTCAACTACAGACTCACAGTGACAGATGACAGCACTGAGTACTAAGATCTTTACTGGGAGAGAGATGCTAGAAAAATTCTTAAGACTCAACTTCAGCAGTAAGGTAAGTATGGTGAAAGAAAAACAAACATACCAGGGGCAGTTCAACAGAAAGAGAGACCAAATAGCAGTTCGGGGGTTTTTCAGCAATTAAAAATAAATTAAAAATCACTAAGTTTTAGTGAAGAAAACACCTACTGGTAAATATCTGCAAGAAAAGTATGGGAACAGGGTATTTTCATACATTATACATACTGACCCTAAAACCAATAGCAAAGTTTTTGCTCATGTAGATACTACACCGCATTTTAGTCTTGAACAAAATTTTCTTAGCGTTGCATGGACCACAGGGTCACTCAGTTACGTTTCACAGATGCTTTGGGGAAGAAAGAAGTTTGGGTGGTTTATGTTTGGAGAAAGGCTGCACATCAGAAAACTTGCCTGCTTTTTCCAATTGTACCAATGTGTGTGCTACCTTATAATCTTGCAAAAGCTAGAACTTCTTCCCACTAAAACTGTCAGCTCTCTTTGGACCACCAGGAGCACAACGCTGCTACAAACATGGTCTGCTGCTCCAAAGGAACTCTTCCATACAGACAAGATGATCCCCAATGCCCCCCTGTCCTCCTCTTTAAATATCACTCGAAGTTGCCTCACACTGAGAGATTGAGACTAAGTGCCACTGAGCATCTGGATGTAAAAACTGCTCCAGAAATTCTGCACCTTATCTCCTGAGTGGAATACTTTTGTCTGAAAATTCAGGATAAAAACTGCTTTGTGCCTTCTAATCCTTAGTAAATTTTATTATTTAATGATACGCAAACATTATTTTAAGACATCTAGATTGCCATTTCATTTGCATTTTAATGTAATGAGAAGTAGTGTGCCTGCTGGGCTGAGCAACAGTGCATCATATTGACCCAAAATGTAACACGAGTGAACAAGCATAATGAGTGCTTGTGACAGAAGCTGAAAACAACTGGGGGGTGGGGGGAGATGCCAGAACAAAAAAGGGAAAGGGGCTGACAGACGAGTGAGGAAGTACTTTCAAATATTTAATTATTCCAAAGCTTTTCACACACATTACATCGCAGAGCTGTAGTTTCACATCTTGCACACCTCTGCAGGTACAGTCTTTTAAGCAACTGCTTTCCTTTCAAATGAATCACTCACTCAAACTTTTGCACTTACTTTCCATCTTAGTATCAAAGGATTTTCCAAGCTATCAAATAGGTTGTTGAGTTCTACGTAAAATAACACATCTTCAGTAATTAGTGTTCAGTTTTGCAGTTTAACCGTGGCTTTCCTTGGGAGTGGGAGCTGCACATGGCATCTCAAACAGAGAGGAAATCTGGAGTTCCTCTGGTCACAAGTCTAAAAGACCCTCCCACGTAATTTATGCTACTTGTCTAAGTCTTTCTATGCCACTGGTAGAAAAACTTCCCTGAACCAAACCTTAGATCCACCAGTGATATTTTAAATGTTGTAGGATCTGCTTTTTAAAATGCCACTGTCATTGAAATGAAGAACAGTTCCTGTTTATTACAGGACTGAATACAGTATGTTCTATTAATGAATATACATCTTTGAGTTAAAAGGAAAAAAAGGACACTTTTTGCTACTTGAAATAACTTTTAGACGAAGACCTGCTTGGTGCAGCTCTTTGACACTTGTATTTCTTTGAGAGAACTTTCCAAGTTGTTGCTACAACAAATCGTAACACAAGTGCATTTCTAGAGCCATGTGCTTGGACCAGTTAGTCAACAATCACTGCCTAGCACTCAAACTCCCCTCTCCAACAGACATTAATAAGCATCACCTTCTAGAAAACCACCTCAGACCTGACATTTGGAAAAGAGCTGTGAACCCAGCAGCTGCACAACACACTTTGCTCACCGAGGCCCCTGTCCTTTTTGTCCTTCCCCCTTGCAGGAAAGTCTGAAAGATTCAAGGCCACCTGTGACGAAGTGAAGGTGTTTCTGAAGCTGTGCTTACCTCTCACTCCATCCGGGCCTGCCCCACGTCCATCCCCGCGGTGCCTTGCAGAGGAATTAGAAGCAGCAGGTCTAACAAGCCTAGGGAACCGAGATGGTCTCTGTTTCCAAGAGAGGCAGGTTTAGCACCTTGCACAAGCGCAGCACACCCGGCAGCAGGTCCCCAGTTCACAACTGCACCCGCCGGCCCTGCCCAAGGCTCAGGCCACCAGCACCACCGCATGCGAGCATGGGGCAGGCTGCGTTCACCCTCGCAGCATCTCCCCCCGCGTGCCCACAGGATGACACCATCAGTTGACAGTAGTGCAGAGTCATCGCCAGCTCAGGAAGACTGATGTGGTTTCCCCAAGAGAGATCTTAACACTTTTTATTTTGCTTTGCTTAAAAAAAAGCCTCCACCACAGACCAGGGGTGTGCGGGGGAAGAAACAGAGAGACGTGAAAGAGACGTGAAAGAAGCAGAGATATCTCCAAATAATGATAACACGCCTTCCCTTCTGCATATTCCCTGATGGTATAAAACATCCAATAATGATCTCATACAGTTTGACAGAGTGAACCCCACCAACTTCAGAACAGTTCTAACTTGAACCACTGTTCCCAGACTGATAAAATTATCTTTTGTATTTGTCAGCTTCAAAACAGAAATCTGTCAAAGCAGAAGTTAGCCATTGCTATCATGCAGTTCAGAAGAATAAGCAAATCTCTCAGGCTATAGCTGACAAAAGAGAGGGTAGGTTCCTAAAAAGACAGAAAAAATAACACACGTGAAGGATATGCTCTTTTTTGCAGGCACTGGGCTACTAAGGAATGGCAGAAACAGTACAACATGGGGGAAGTGGCATTCAGCCTTCTTACCTGCTTCCTGTCATTGTACATGGGGAAGAACCGCAGAATCAGTGACTGAGGTTGGAAGGGACCTTTGAAGGTCATCTTGTCCAACCCCCCTGCTCACGCAGGGATGTCCTGAAGAGTGAATTTTGAATGAAGCAGGAGATGAAAGCGAGTAAAACTGACTTAGTCTCTCTGCTTCTCACACAATTGACATATAAAACTTTCAGAACATAGACAACAGAAAAGTTACAAAAGCATAACCACAAATTAATTGTGCTCACACTTGTTTACTACTCCACTCAAATCTAAAACTTAGATTTAATATACAGTAAGGCAGGCAGAACCAGTTTCAAGGTGAGATAAACAGAGCACTATCTAATGAACCAAGATTATATTGGGCTCCACTGCATGGGTATGTACCTCAAATAATTCAACAAGTGAATGAAGGGTGAGGGAAGGAACCATACTTTTGCTTCTAGGCCAGTGCAACCCCTCCACCCAGTAATTCCTTCTCTGGGACTATCTGTCAAATTAGGTCTCACCCTGGGCAAAGATGGAGTAAAAAAGTAGGAAACAGGTAATGGAGGCAATAAAGCTTGGGCACACACATGTGCCACAGATGTTGTCAGAATCTCAGAGGTGGAAGACAGTGCTATTTTCTCACTTATCCTTATATTTGAAGCATTAGATAGTTACATCTCTAACAATTCCTGCTTCTCTATATGGATCCTCTCACCAGGCTACACTGGTGCTGGGAGGCAGGCATTTAGTTGAACACATCAAATATAAAACTGCATAAAAAAAACATCTCCTGAAATCAGACACTAAAATGTCATACATACCTGCAGTCAGGCAAAGAAGAAAAGATGAT